TGACAGATTTAGTGGTAATGATGTATGGCTTAGAGGAAAGATACATGAAATTGTAGTTAACAATGATCATTGGTACAACAGAAATAAAATTACATACAGTTTCCGTTCTATAGCATGATCGGTTAATGTGAATACAATAGTTAGTTCACTATACTTTTCCAGAAATTATGAAGGTTAAAACTATCGAGAGAAGCGCAAGATTGATAGGTCCTGGGTTCGAATCTCGAGAGGCGGGATCGTGAATGGGCACTGTTGAGGAGTCCCACAATAGGATGGAACGGCAGTTCAGTGCTTCCAGGTTTTCCGTGGTGGTCTAGCTTCAATTGACCCATGATTTCAACTATAAAATTACTGAAATCTCCACAAAAACCCTTCAGACAAGAGAAGCATGATTAAACTTTATTTATCAATGGACCTTGACCCACTTGAATTGAACACAAATTACAGCACATATCAAAATCTCTAAAAGTGTTGAATTGTGAACTTTGGTTTAGTGAATAGTGTGTTAATGTAAAAAAAAACGAAAATAAAATTTGGATACATTTTATGGTGTTTCTGTAAGGATGGCTAGTTGGTAAACTCAAGAAGTTTAGAAAGATCCGAAGACATACCATCCAATCACCACTAGAGGAACATTCTATCATTATTATTATTATTATTTAAACACATAAATATTGGTACAAGAAAGCACCAGATACATATGCATCACACAAATCTCATTTGATTTGTGTGAGGGCTGTTATACTGACCGCGTGGTTTTCTTAAGGGGCCACATCTCGAGCCTTTGACATAAAGGTTTGATCCACAAGGGAGTGGAGCATCGTGTGGAGATTCAGTCCCATGGTAGCCAGTGACCGACAATTGATTCATACGCCATTTGTTCCTTCAGGATACTGGAGTCCATGTGCACCATTGGCTTGGAATGAGGGTTTTCCAACTCCCTTAGATGGACTTTCGGTGTCCACCAACCCGGTTAAAGCGCCGGACATTCGCTTTTCGTCCTCTCACTTTTGTGAACAACACCTCCACCACGAGAAAGCAGTGAATAGGACTTCGCTGGCAGAAGCTATGTACGCGTGGCCATGTGGGAGCATTTGAAGGGGGAGAGCTAACTTTCCCCACTATCGGCCGTACCAGGGCATTTGGAGGAACATTCTAGAATGTCGACGTGTACCTTCCCTATTGGATGGATAAGCAGCATCCCCTATGTGCCTATTGACTGTCCGAAATGATGATTTACTTTCAGCCAAAAACTATAAATACATGAGATTCTTGTCCTATATTTGACACCGTGTTGGAAATAACATTCCTACTTACTAATCTTCTGTCTTCTCTCTTGCGATGTTGCTGGTCCGGTCATTCAAGTAATCTAGTAGTAGGTGGCATAGCAAGAATCTAACAGTTTCCTAAACGTATTGCGAAGAATATATTCCTTATTATAAGTTTATCGAATTGTATGGATGAGATTACAAATACTTGTCAATTTATAGTGTAACTGGGGTGTTGAAAATACTTGTGGTGAGGAAACTTGAGGTTTTCAATGCTGGTTTAGTATAAACTTCAGGATCTTAGTAATTGATAGATATAATTCAAAATTTGACTTACACGTTATTCTATCGATATTGAACTCGGTTCTATGTCTTTCGCGGACAGTTATCTTCTCATTATCTTTACATCTAGTTTGATTGGTTTTACTCACTGACTCATCAGTTCATTGTGTTTGTTGATAGAGTTATTGATTCAATTCATGATATACTGTTATCAGAACATAGATATCAACGAACCAGGATCACAGAATCTGAATATTTCTCCACTGAAGAAGTTCTATTTTTCCTTGTAAACTACTGATGAATCTCTGCTTAAACAAGAGTAAAGCATCATATGATATGTAGACTAGTGTCAGTTAAGAAGAAGCAAACAGAATAGTTGTAATAGGATAACAGCTTTATCAATCCTTAATGTTTGATTGTATCGAGGAAATGTATTTTACTATTTGACTTACAAACCGCTTTATTTCAATGTCGACTGTTAGTAACAATAATAATAACACTTGAATGACTGAACCAAACCAGTTAATAGTGGTTGATAACTCTGACATAATAGCAGAATATAAATATTTTCTGTTTCTGAGTTTTACTATTGTGATAAAATAAAACGATTCTTGATCAAGACTATACCAACATTAGACTAGATACTAACCACTCATTGTACTCTCTCGTGCATGCTATTGAATGTGCGGTGGTAGCTATGTGAGAATGCTTTGAACAAGCCACTATCATTCAACATATAGCCTTTCACAGATTAGCAAGTTTTAACACTCTTTCACAGCAAACTGTGTATCAGCTGATCGACTTATGTGACCTCCTGTATGAAATCGGTTACAAGTGAATATGTATCATCATGTTGAAGTGAAAATTTTAATAAATTTAATAGGACTGAATGACAAATGTTGCACACAAATAGACGATGTTGATGAGAACTTTATAAACTTTAGTTTATAGAGTTAGAGAGTAATTGATCACACTATGAGGTAGTTGAACGTAGGCTAATCATATTTAAGAATCATAGAAGTTCAGGCTACTTAAACGAATGAACTAGTAAATTAGAAAGGACTGGAAATTGATACAAACGAAATAAGGGAGAACCTGAAAAAATGTGATGTGATAAATTAAGAGTAATTAAAGATTTACGATTGTGATGACTGTATGATCGTTGTAGTAAATTTATGAATGTTACAAAACTTGATTGTTTCTAATCTCCTTACTTACTTACTTACGCCTATTACTGCCAATAGAACATAGGCCACCGACCAGTATTCTCCAACCCATTCTATCCTGGACCTTCCTTTCTACTTCTATCCATTTGTTGTTCATTCTTCTCATGTCTGTCTCCATTTATCGACGTAATGTGTTCTTCGGTCTTTCTCTTCTCCTTTGACCTTCACGATTCCATGTGAGGGCTTGCCTTGTGACGCAGTTAGGTGATTTGCTCAATGTGTGTCCCACCCACCACTTCCAGCACTTCTTCCTGCTTTTTTCCTCCATTGGATGGAATCTGGTTTGTTGTCTCTCATAGTAGGTTGTTGCTGATAGTGTCTGATTGACGGATCTGAAGTATCTTGTGTAGACAACTGTGGATAAACACTTGTATCTTCTGGATGATGGTTTTCGTAGTTCTCCACGTCTCCACCCTATACAGTATATCTGTCTTGATATCTGTATTGAAATATTTGATGTTGGTGTTGGTTGATAATTGTTTTGAATTGAGGGTGTTTTTCAATTGTAGATATGTTGTTCTTGCTTTGCCGATCCATGTCTTCCTACTTCATCAGATCCATCCTGATCATCGATGATTCTGCTAAGATATGTAAATGTTTTTCCATCCTTGAAAGCTTCTCCGTCAAGTATGATTTTGAATGTTGCATGTCATGCTGTATCGGATAATCTTCCTTTTCTCTCTGTTTATATTGAGACGTACTGCTGTTGAGGCTGCTGCTACACTGGTCGTCTTCTCCTAAATTTGTTGTTGCATGTAATATAGAAGCTACATCCTAACTATCCACTGTATCCCATGCTCCCCTCTCCCTCCCCCAAACAGTAGAGTTCACCCTTCTAATCTATCTAATAACCAGTTATTTAATGGAAGTATAATTATTTATTCATTCAAAATGGATTGTTAAAATGTCTTCAGTATGTAAAACTTTCAACTTAAAGAATAATTATGCTTAAAATTGTTAGAACTTGTGGACGAGTGCAAACCTTGTTAACGTATGACGTGATAAACCGTCAATCAGAGAGCAGCGAATTATCGATTGGAACGGTGATACACGAAAACCGAGCAGTCTAGAGTGAGTATCGATCCTACTATCTGCCTAGCCCAGCCAGTTAAGTCCAGAACACCAATAATAGCCTCTGCAATATGAATCATTATACTCAAACATAGTGAGTTTATATACCAAACAGACTGACCACAACGTACCAATAAAATAGAAAATAACATTTGTACAAGATTTTGCAAAATGTGGTTGTGAATAAGGGGAGCAGTAATTAATAGACTGGGTATAACTCAAGAATAGTAAATTGTACAGTAATAGTCTATGGGTCAAAATACAGCTCATAATGAGAGGAACATGAATATGAATAGTTAAGTTACTTAACAATTATACAATAGGAAATATGCCTATCATATTGGTCCATAAATAGTTCTCAAAAGTTACCATTCATAAATCTCCATGGGATATAACACGTGAAAGGTGTAGAACTGCCACAACCATCAGTATGTAAAACTTTCAACTTAAAGATTAGAATTATTTAAAACAATAAACTAATAAAATATTAAAAAAGGAAAAAAAGGAAATATCTATTTCACAAGCATTGTAAGAAGAGATGGATAGTCTCTAGTAGTGGAATCCAGGACGCGCGTCTCGTCCTATTTGGGACTCGTCAGCTGGATGTACCTGCATCTCAAAGTTGATGCTCACTCTGAGACTCGAACCTTATACCTTCCGCTTCAAACACCATCGCGTTATCCACTCAGCTACTGAGTCCTGATAGCCACTTACTTGTGCAATGTGGTGAAGTTTAAATTCACTTAGTATTATTTGTTTGAATCTTCCCTGAGATGCAGGTACATCCAGCTGACGTGTCCCAAATAGGACAATACGTGCATCTTGGATTCCACTGATAGCCATTATCCATCTTGGCTTAGAATCTATTTCATTCATATAATACAATCTGACTGTTTAAAAAGAAAAACAAAAAAAAACAAGAAAAAAACGAAACAACAACAGCCAATTTTGCACTTTAATCCAATTCACATTCATGTTCATTTTAACTCTAATGATACAATATAAACAACAACAACAACCAAAAAAATGACTATTGTACATTGAACATGTTCCTGGTCTGGCAAATATTTAGAAAAAACAAAACACACACAAACATACACACACACACGCACAAGCAAACAAATAAGTTAATGGTGATGGTAATGATGATGATGATGATGATGATGATGATGATGATGATGACATAGTGATAGAATGATTTCTTCGTCTTAGATACAAAGTCCATGAAGGGGATATAGTCCTATGAATAATAAAGTAGTTCATTACATTTTTACTATAAATTCTCAACAGTATTTTCTCAATATTCAAATACATTAAAACAACACCACCATTGCTGATATGATGATATTCTCTATATTTCTTATTAGCATCTTACATATTCTATTAGTCAAATGTCAATTAGATACAAATGTTGAAGTATCCGATGAAACTGTTAGTGATAATAATAAATGGGCTGTATTAGTAGCTGGATCTAATGGTTATTTCAATTATAGACATCAAGTAAGTCAATAAATCTAATAATGTTTGTTTGTTTTTATTTTGCTTAAACCTCGTGAGGCAGGATCATGGATGTGTACTGTTGAAGAGTCTCACAATAGGACGAAACAGCTGTTCATTGTTTTCAGGTTTTCTATGGTGATCTAGCTTGAATTGACTCATGATCTTAACTATTATTCAAAAAATGTCAATCCGAAAGTGTATAAAGCCTCATTGAACTTTATAAACTACTTAAAGATTATAATGAGTAACATTTACTTGATGTAAGTAGTAAACTGAAGTAGAACGTGTGTGCTTCTGACTCATCAAATTTTACAACACTTCGAATCGTGGATGCGCACTGCTGAGGAGTCCCATACTAGGAAGAAACAGCCGTTCAGTGCTTCTATGTTTTCCTTGGTGGTCTATCTTCAATCAACTGATGATTTCAACTTCCAATATTGTTAAATTGTCTGTATAATTATCTGCAAAATTTTGTACTATGGTGTGATCTACTTATACCCATATAAGTAGTATATGAGAATTGTTAGACATAGAATGTATTTTGGCAGAAGACCGATAAGGAAAGAACTGAAATGAAGCACAATTGATAGGAAAATGCATGAACAATGAAATTAGAGAAGATGGAATGATATTTACAGAAGGAACAGTTAAGATTGAGACATCTTGTTGCTTTTTTGCAAATTAACTGTTTACTGTATGATTATCAAAATTTACTGAGATAGTCTGTAATTTATGCTTAAACACAATCCATTGTCCCAGCTAGTGTTCTGTTCACTACAGCACTCATGAATTATTAAAGGATTTCAAATTAGGTCTTCATTTAATCGAAATGGGCGCTCTATAACTCAAAAGGATCTTATATACTTCAAAGTACAAGAAAGATGGTAAAACATATACTACAACTAAATTTATTTCGGAGGGAACAAATGGTGTATGAATCAATCTTTGGTCACCAGTTACCATGGGACTGTATCTCCTTACGATGCTCCACTGTCTTGTGGATCAGACCTTTGAGTCAAATGCTCCAGGTGTGGACCCCTAAGAAAACCACCTGCTTCAATTTAGGCACTTGGGCAGTATCACAGCCCTCGCACAAATCAAATGAGATTTGTGTGGCTCATATATATCTGGTGCCCATTTGTACCAATATTTATGTGTTTAAATAAATAAAATAAATAAATTTATTCCGCTTTAGTTTAAATATTTTTCAATCACCTAGACAGCATCAAATGAAGTGAGTTACTTTTCTAGTTAATTTGACTGTATCATCAAACAGAATTGATTGATTATAAAGAAGGTAAGCCTATCACTGAGATTCAAGAGCAGTTTGATAGATGGATAGAACATTTTGAAGAGCTTTGGAATAAACTAGACTCAGTGAACTCACTGGGCGTCGGAGTAGCATATACCGACCTACCTAAAAATGATGTCAAACCAATAATAGAAGAAACCAGTAAGTCCATTAAGCAAATCAGGAATGTCAAGGCCGCGGAACTGGGCAGTGTATTATCTGAGGGACTGAAGTCAGTTGTAGAGGTGACTGCAAAGATTTTCGATGTGAACTTCAGAAAGTACTGACAGATCGAAAGTAGAGGTATCTCATCAAGATGCTAAAAAATGTGAGAACTACAGAGCATAGCACTAATATCAGCACCAGATAAAGTTTTCAAAAGTGTTGTCAAACTAAAAAAAATATTCAGGAGATGCCCAGCTTTGAGATCGACAGGTTTGATTCCGTAAGGAACGGTGTTGCACAGATCAAATCGTGAAACCATGGATGATTGTTGGGCAATGAAGTGAACGAAATTCGTCACTATACATCGACTTCATTGACTATGAGTAAGTGTTTGACAGTGTGGATAGGATAACCTTGTGAAGTCTTCTTTGACACCACAGTGTATCTGAGAAGACCTTCAACATAATCCAGAATACAATGACAGCTTGCATGCAACTAGATGATTTGGACTTTGTAAATGATCTAGCTTTTTGGTCTCATAAACATCAACAAATGTAGGTCAAGACAGTCAGTTTAGCGTCGGCTTCTGCATCCAAAGCCTCAGTGTACACAAAGGAAAAATCAAGATCCTGAAATACAACACAGAGAACATTAACCCGATCACACTTGATGGACAAGTTGCGGAAAACGTTGAAACTTTGACGTACCTGGTCGGGATCATCGATAAACTTTAAGGATCTGATGCAGATGCAAAGGTGAGGATTGAAAAAGCAAAGACGGCATTCCTACAAAGCATATGGAAATCAAAACAACTGTCAACCAGTATCTAAGTTACCATCTTCAATACGAACGTCAAGACAGTCCTACTGTATAGAGCTGAAACTTGGAGAACTACCACAACCATAATCAAACATGCACAAGTATATATAAACAATTCTTTACCTACGATACTCAATGTCTGTTGGATGTCTGCCATTGGCAACAGCCTACTGGAACAGAGAACAAACCAGCTTCTATGTAAGAAGAAAAGTTGGTGGTTAGGACATATATTTTGAAAATAATCAGACTGTATCACAAGGCATGCCCTAATTTAGAATCCTGAAGCGAAAAGTAGAACAGAAAAATCGAAGAGCACACTTGATATGAACTAGAAAAAGGTGAGCTCAGAAAGCTGTTGGTTGGAGACTTCTAGTCTGCCACCTATGTCCTATGAGGATCAACAGATGTAAGTAAGTTAACAAGTAAATCTCAGTTTTTCTACTAGTCGATACTCATTAATAAGTTTTATCTGTAATATTAAAGGAATTAATAGCATCTGTTAGGTTTAAATGAGCGTCACTCAGTCTCACAGTCAATGATAGTACTACTGAAATAATCGAAACTTGACTAATCTTCATTTGAACTAAGAGATTTACAGTGACGGATCACTACGTATAGACAGTTTGTGTAGTATGTAATTGATCGTTAAAATTTATGTTCTAGTAATCATATATATAGAACTTATCAGAAGGGTTTGGTGGAGATTTCGGTACTTTTTTTATAGAGTTGAGATCATGAGTCAATTGAAACTAGACTACCATCGAAAACCTGGAAGCACTGGACGGCCGTTCCAGGTTTTCAATGGTAGTCTAGCTTCAATTGACTCATGATCTCAACTCTCTATATATAGAACTATTCAACTTCTCAAAATTCTGGGTAGTCCCATTTGTTTATAATCTTACTTACTTACTTACTTACTTACTTACTTACTTACTTACTTACGCCTGTTACTCCCAATGGAGCATAGGCCGCCGACCAGCATTCTCCAACTCATTGTTTATAATCTGTGTTTGTTTAAATAATTTCTCATTCATTGAAATTATTTTCTTTTTACAAAACTATAGGCAGATGTCTGTCATGCTTACCACGTATTACGTTCAAAGGGTATAAAACCTGAGCATATTATCACGATGATGTATGATGATATCGCTTATAATAAGATGTAAGTAATAAACCAAAAACTGTTTTTGTTTTGATGTACAAATTAGTATAGTTATGGACTGATTGTTGAATAATTTGTACAGTGTAACTTATAAGGAAATGAACAAGCTGATTAGAATCCATTTCTATTGGTATCTACTTACAACTGTTTAGATTTCTGATAAGTTTGATTCCCAATAATAACGCGATGGCGTTTGAAGCGAAAGCTACTGGGTTAGAGCCCCAGAGTGAATATGAACTCTGAGATGCAGGTACATCCAGCTGACGAGTCCAAAATAGGACGAAACGCGCGTCCTGAATTCCACTGCTAGCCACTATCCATCCTTCCTTATAATTTTAGGCTATATCGAGACGATACGCACAGCATGCACATATGCCAAAACAGACTGACCAGTTGCAGTCCTAAAACATCAATGGGAAGATCCAAACAAGCAATACTAAGTGAATTTAAATATGTACTTACTTACTGACTCCTGTTACTCCCAATTGAGAAGAGGCCACCGACCAACATTTTCCAACCCACTCAATCTGTCCTGGGCCTTTCTTTCTAGTTTTATCCAGTGTTTGTTCATCCTTCTCATCCTTCTCCATTGTGAGTGAGTGCATAAACATTACTTAAGAGTTACTAAATGGGGTTTAACCTCTGTTCGTCACTTTTTGACTTTTAATCATCCTTCATCTGATGTCAATCTGTCATGAAACTTATCTTAGAACTGAAGTTTCATCACGAAGATGAATTGATTTCAACTGAAGTGACACTTAGAATGTTTATGTTATCCAAAACTATTTAAATACATCTCCAGTCGAATTTCTGTACGAAATTCAAACGACTGGCTTACACCTTGTAAGTAGCTGGAAGTTGTCAACTGGAAACCCACCTAAAGCTTCAACACAATCTACAGGACAGGTTTGGGTCCCAGAGTGAATATCAAATCTGAGATGCAGGTACATGCAGCTGACGAGTTCAAAATAGGACGAAACACGCGTCCTGAATTCCACTGTTAGCCACTGTCCATCTTTGTTTAGAGTTCAGTTGTTGAAAATAATGGCACATCTCAACTTTTGATCTTTTCTTCGGATGGCAATCAACATCTATCGACGAAATAGCTGTTTAATAAGTATCACAACTATAACATCCACCTTCCAGAATACAACTGAACCAAAGTTCGATCATTTCCATCAATATGCATTTGGATTATAATGTTAATTCGTAACTTGTGTGTGTCAGTTATTTTCATGTTGTTTTGCATCAATCTTTTAGGAATCCATTTCGTGGAAAACTTTTTAATGATTATAACCATAAAGATTGGTATAAAGGAGTGGTGATAGATTATCGCGGTAAAGTAAGTAATTATATTTACAAATCAGAAGGGGTTTTGTGGAGATTTCAGTATTTTCGTAGTTGAAATCATTACTCAATTGAAGCTAGACCACCATGGAAAACCTGGAAGCACTGTTCGGCCGTTTCGTCTTATTATGGGACTCCTCAGCAGTGCGCATCCACGATCCCTCAATCACGAGACTCGAACCCAGAACCTACCAGTCTCACGCCAGAGCACTTAACCGATAGACCAATTTAATGAAATGAAACAAAATAACATTTACGTATCAGTGTGCACAATCATCAAATCGAGGTGTTATACTAATAATCTTGAGTATTATATTAGTCTTAATAGTAAATTTTCTGAATAACTGTCTTATACTATCTGATAACTTTGTGACTTTTTTCGTGATGACAGTAAGGAAAGCAACTGACCAATCTCTTAAGGAACTAAAGCAAAGGAGCAAAATTTTGTCTGAGCTTAATGATTCACATACATCACGACTGTATGGTTGACCCAAAGTTCATAGGTCGTTTCCTCCTCTCTGTCTACTTCTAAATTTGTACAATTCTCCATCTCAAAAAAAAGCTACAAAGTAGTTAATTCGAATCTTAGAGCATTTGAACAAATCGGTCGTAAGAAGGAACGTCAAAGACGTTCTCAACTTTGTTTCCGAAATGCAAGATATGAATTTTAATAGAAAATACACGATCTCACCAGATCACATATATTCATTTGCTAACGTACCACTAGTCGAGACAATCAAGTTTCTATGTAAATATCAACAAATCAAATCAACATTGACTTTCCTGAAATAGTTTGAAAGATTTACTCCTAAGGTATGTGGTGAACGTGCATTTTGTTTTAAACAATACTTACTATAAACAGATTTATAGAATAGCCATGGGTTCACCTCTAAGCCCAATTTTTAGCTGATATCTTTCCAGCTAAATAAGAAAATGGAACGCCTAATGAGACTATCAAGAAACTTGATCTACATTGCAGCCACATAGACGACACATTAATTATTGTAGTGTGGAATACGCCCACATCGTCTCAACAGTATACACCTGACAATCACTTACACCGGTGAGGATGTGTGAATATAAACTTAAATTTCTGGACATCAGATTACGTAGAATGTATATAAAAAGCACCTCTTCTTTCCAATACACATACTTCTACACTTGTATTCCAATCCACTGCAAACGAAATCAGGTCAGATGTCTGACGAGCAGAACAGGAAGATCTGCTCAGATGATATCACAAAGAAGGATTTGGAGTTTATTAATAGCATACTGATAGAGATCGGATATCCTAGAAGTCTTCTAAAGATGTACATGCATGTGGGGAAAACTAAGTTAGAGCCACTGACTACTGGTAAGAAAAGTCTATTCTTAAAATTACAATTAAACTAGGACATGGCTAGAGAAGTCCTACCCAATAGATTAGCAAAGACACTTAATAAGATATTCTATACAGCTAATTTTGCATTCGCGTTTACCAGTAGACCAGTGATATTTACTGAAATAAATGAAAAGTTCTCAGAGTTTGTCACTTCAATGAGCATCTACAAATTCGACTACTCCTGAGAAGATGGCTATAGCTGTGGCGTACTATGAAGACTAACTCAAAACCATATTGTTGGCTTGTGTGTTGTTCTATTTTTATCTCAGCTAAATTTACTCTCAAAAGGCCTCAACATACACAAAAGAAAAAGCAAGATTCTCAAATACAATACGGAGAACAACAACCCAATCACACTTGATGGCGAAACTCTGGAAGAGGTGTAAACATTCACGTACCTGGGAAGCATCATCGATAAACAAGGAGGATCGGATGCAGATGTAAAAGTGAGGATTGGCAAAGTAAGGGCAGCATTTCTACAACTGAATAACATATGAAACTCAAAACAACTGTCAACTAACTTCAAAGTGAGAATCTTCAATACGAACGTCAAGACAGTCAGTTCTACTGTACAGAGCTGAAACGTGGAAAACTACTACATCCATCGTCAAGAAGGTACAAGTATTTGTAAACAGTTGTCTAAGCAAAATACTCAACATTCACTGACCGGATACTATCCGGAACAGCGTTTTATGGGAGAGGACAAATCATCTTCCATCTGAAGAGGAAATTAGGAAAACACGTTGGAAGTGGATAGGTCATACATTAAGGAAAATGCCCTAACTTGGAATCCGGAAGGGAAGCGGAAAAGAGGAAGGTCAAATAACACATTACGTCGAGAAATAGAATCAGATATGAAAAGGATGAATAACAAGTGGAAAGAACTGGAAAGGATTGGCTAGGACAGAGTTGGATGGAGAATGCTGGTGGGTGGCCTATGCTCCTCGACGAGGGATAACAGGCGTAAATAAGTAACTAAGTATGTAAAGTAAAGTTACTCTAGTTAGGTTTGTACAAATAGGTTTGTTCTGCTATCTTAAAATATTGAATAAATGGATAGTGTTACCTGCCCTTATATACAAGATAGAATAAAATGCGTTTGTGATTCATCAACGTCTGATAGATGATCATTTAGAATTTCGTCTTTCAACACTCTGACTCAATAAATAGATAATAATTTTCTTATATTTCTAGAAAGTCAACTCGAAAACGTTCCTGAAAGTTTTGAAAGGAGATAAAAGCGCTGGTGGGAAAGTTTTGAAAAGGTAAGTTGCTTTTATTGTCACATCTTCGTATTACTTAACATAAATAATGACGTTAATAATCTTAATGCACCTTGAATAGTTCAAGAAGATCAGTATGGAGATCTGCTTGGTCTTGGTTGTATATTACTTTTCATTCGTCAGCAACATGATTGTCAAATATTGAGGGAACTGGTACTATCCATTGAATGTGAACCAAAATATCGCACATTCTCGCAGTCAGAGTGGTTACCACCCAATAAAGAGAGTAACCAATGACCATCATCGATACAAGATACTTACACTGGTTTTCACTCGACAATAGTCAATTTCATGTTTGTTTCTTCTCAGTGATGAAAGCATTCAATCAATGAAGTTGCATTGTGGTCACTTGATTAATCCATTCAATATCAATTCCAGAATACTTCGATGTAAAGTAGTTGGATACAGTTGACAGGAAGCTGTTAATTAGTAATAAAATTTATAATTTGTATTACAACTTACTTACTTACGCCTGTTATCCCTCGTCGAGGAGCATAGGTCACCCACCAGCATTCTCAATCTAACCCTGTCCTGGACAATCCTTTCCAGTTATTTCCAGTTAACATTCATCCTTTTCATATCTGATTCTATTTCCCGACGTAATGTGTTATTTGGTTTTCCTCTTTTCCGCTTCCCCACGTCATTTCAAGATAGGGATTGCCTCGTGATGCACATTGGTGATTTCCTTAATGTATGACCTATCCACTTCCAACGTGTTTTCCTAATTTCCTCTTCAGATGGAAGATGATTTGTCCTCTCCCATAAAACGTGTTCCTGATAGTATCCGGTCAGTGAATGTTGAGTATTTTGCTTAGACAACTGTTTACAAATACTTGTACCTTCTTGACGATGGATGTAGTAGTTTTCCACGTTTCAGCTCTGTACAGTAGTACTGACGATATTGATGTTCGTATTGTATTACAAACTGCATTGGAATTCATCAGTATTGATTATAATCAGATGTCTGGATCTGTGTTCTTGTCTTATAAACTGTAATTCGTGAAAATAGTTATTAGAGTCTGATAGAATTTCGAAATACTCTGAATTTATGAATCAACTCAGAGTTGGAAACACGTTAATATGGACAGTAGAAATGATGACATTTTCTCCTAATCATTCACCAATGCCCATTGACTACATCCAACCAAGAAATTCTTCGGTCTAATAGTTTAATGTTATTTGTGGGTTGTGAGAAATTTCTCAGTTTCACTGTTTGGTTACTGGATAATAATTTCTTAACGGTTATTTATTGATCAGTATTGATTTTATTAGTGTATTCACTTAGTTGTGATTCAACATCACAGTGTGCTTACTTTAGGATCAAAACTATCAACTTTCCATAGAGGAAACATAGAATATACGTTTTCCATGGATTGGTACTCATAGACTTTATTTATTTATTTATATAAATACTTAAATATTGGTACAAAATGGGCACCAGATAAATATGCGCCACACAAATCTCATTCGATTTGTGTGAGTGTTGTGATACTGCCGAGGTGCCCAAACCGAAGCAGGTGGTTTTCTTAGGGGGCCACACCCTGAGTCTTTGACCTAGAGATCTGATCCACAAGGCAGTGGAGCATCGTAAGGAGATGCAGTCCCATGGTAGCCGGTGACCAACGATTGATTCATACGCCATTTGTTCCATCAGGATATTGGAGCCCATGTGCACCGATGTTTTGGAATGAGGGTTTTCCAACTCCCCTAGGTGGACTTTCCGTGTTCACCAACACGGTTGAAGCGCTTGACATTTGCATTTCGTCCTCTCAATTTCGTAAATAACAACACTCCACCCAGTGAAGGCAGTGAGTAGGACTTGTGTGTCAGAGGCTATATACACGTGGCCATGTGAAAGCATTTGGAGAGGGAGAGCGGACTCTCCCCACTCTCGACCGAACCAGGGCATTCGGAGGCACTCATCGTCTTATTTCTACAGTATTGCACTTTCTGTATGAACACCATTTGTAGTAAATCGTCTGAATTTTATTCCAAATTGTGTAGAATTGAAACTGTTAGAGTGGATTGATTCCATTCAATTTGAAAGAAGCCTTGAAAATGATTAATAACTGTAGAGGAATCCAAGTGTTGGCTCCCTATTGATGAGCATTAGTAGTCTAACATGAATTCTATGTTTACATGATGACATGCAACTTCGAAATGAATGACATACAGATACACTAGTATGATTGGTGTAGTATATCAGTCTCGAGATACTACATCTTTCTCTGTGACCTTTCTACGACCACTTATTTGAAAACTTTTTGTTGTCTAATCATGAATGTTCGGCATCATCGATTTAATAAGAACGTTAGTATAGTAACGTGAATAATGTGATTTAGTAGTGTGCTTTCATGTCTAAAATCATCAAATTGATACATGACAGTTATCCAGTAGTCAATGGTTTGAACTAACATCCAAACTATTGTCGATCTAAGTGATCTTTATCCATCTACTAATCAGATACTTTGTTTATATTCTGTTCATAGTGGAAAAAATGATGATGTATTCATATACTTTACTGATCATGGTGCACCGGGTCTAATTGCTTTCCCTGATGATGAAGTAAGTGTATATCAGTGTTCTTTACTATTTATAATTCGGTAATTATGTCTTTCAAGTAGGAAGTGGTTAAAATTCATCACGTGATTTTCGGATAACTGTGGTTTAGAGTAGATCATGTCTCCTTATTCTATTGACTAGAAAGCCCTAACTTATGTAGTTGTCTGGAAGGATTTCCACACACATGCTACTGGTTCCAACTGTCACCAAATATATCAAGTCAATAGATCCACCAATCTTCTGAACTAGCAATCGGCCTGATTCGTTGATAATGTTCTAATGTATGTTAAATGCTCAGTCACTTACTACAGTAGATTATGTTCGTTGGATGATAGTGACTCGAAAATCAGAATCACAGTTTGTTCTATCCTGGTTAGTGATCAGATGCACAGAATTTGAAAACTCTGTGTGTGAATGCAGATTGTGAACAACATGAACAAACAGATGGAAAACAACGAATGACACTTATATTAAGAGACGGCAAACGGAATTGTCACAATTTATGTTGATGAAAGTTTAACTGAAATGTTTCGCAAATATGAAACGTCTACTTAATGTTTGTGAGTAGTATTGTAATGAACAAACGTACTGGTGGGTACATCCAATCTACTTATCGTACTGAATTGCAGAATATCTTAGCAAAATATGAGAACCATACACTGAATACTTCATTAGCAAACTTCCATCATTCTTCCTTCACATTCTGTATGATTCTTCTAGTTCACAGTTTCTTCCTATTTTCCTTCTGTTCTCTTCAACTCGATCTTCTTAGACATTTGTTGACAGTTTTTTTCACTTCCGACTGGTGTTACCTACTAATTATTTTTGACAACATAAGTTATATACACTCCAGTATCTCTATTGATTGTTAGAATAATTTCAATCTGTAATTAGTATCTAATCCGTTTCAGAGGTGACACTTATCTGTCACGTCATGTGCTAGTGAAATTCTATCAATTAACCAATCAACAATGTGTATCGTGACCATTCGACTAAGTAAATCGATACATGCAACGAAGTTACGTTAGTTATCTCAAAACTCTACAGATTTATCAGTGAAACAGTATGAATTTAATGAATTTCACGTGATCATTAGATACACTAATCAGCTAAATTATAGTACATCATGTATTAGAAACTGCACGTGGTGATCAATACATTTCATATACATTAATGAGGTTCAACAAGTACCTGGAAAATGTAAATATTTGACTGTCGAAATAATCCAAACAATGCAGCCTTTTCAGAATGGTGATTAGTGGAGATCCTAGTATGGAAATCCTCAGCAGTGCTAAAATAGCCATTGTAGATGTTGTTGAATTTTAGAATTGACATCACGTACTGATCTCAATTAGACAACCACTGATGGTCAGGGAGCTTTTGGTCGCTGTTCCGTTTCAACATGGGATTGAAATATGAAGAATTATTACATAAGTGTATATGCAGAGACTGAAAGACTCGATTTTACCACTGATTAAGCCAAGAATTTGGATTCTTTATGTAGATGACACGTCCGTCATCGTGAAGAAGGACGAACTGGTAAACACTAACAATATGGTCAACAACGTCTTCGATGACATAACATTCATAATGGAAAAGCAGTCAAACAACAAACTACTATTCCCAGATGTACTAATCAACTAAATCGACAAAAGAAAACTGGAGATTCAAGTATATCTAAAGCTGACGCACACAGATCGAATTCTCAGTTACAGTAATAGTGACGCAAGGACTCAACTGCATAAAAACTTTGCTCAAGAGGACAAGAAGACACTGTAGCACACTTACAGCTCGAAAAAATGTATGTAAACATCTGAAAACTTCTTTTTCAAAAGAACCGCTACCCACTCATCAACACAACTCATCATTGGGAACAAAGTCAAATACGGAAACCAACAAACGGATCACCCTACCATATATATGAGAAATTACAACAAGATTGTTGAAGCTATTTGGAATAGGTGTAGTACATAAACCAGCAAAATCACCCCAACTAATCTTATGCAAATTAAAGGACGAAATGACAAAAGAAGAAAAACCGAATATCATCTACAAAATAAACTGTTCCAAATGCGAAAAACACAACATTCGACGAAGTTGACGCACCTTCATCATCGCCTGCACGAACATCAATTAGAGGTCAAACGCCATGACATATCTTTGCTTATATCAATGAATGTGGACAACTGCCGACTCACATTCGACTGAGGAACTGTTGAGATCTTGGACAGAGGGAATACTAAAAGCACTAGAGAATTTCTGGCACTCATGTCATTTAACAATCAACAAACACGTTGAAATCGATCAAGTCTATCAACTAACCAGAAAAATGGTGAACAAATATAGGACCAAGAATCATATCAATAGAAGATACAGTCGATATGGAAAAGTAGGCAATGACAGGTTAAAGGTAAACAATAACCAACCAAGATCGAGTTCAACAGGACAATTTGGGAGTCCATGTGGTAAAATCTGAACACTTCATTTTTATTTGAAGATTGTGCTGATGATGTTGTGTAGAAGAACAATGAAAGCTCCATGATCAAACCACCCAACTCAGAGAACAAAGCTCCGCCTACGGTCAACGTGGATTCAAAAATGTTTCGAATGCATAATCAGTGACTTATGAATTTAGTTTCAACGATATTGGAACTGTTATCTACCAGTAACATTCAATGGTGATGATAGTTGTATATGTAGGAAATGTAAACCATTATCAAATTGATCCAGTGGTTGTCAAGAGAATGGAATTTTCCGCATTCAATATTGTGTTGTCATTCCAGGGCTATGGGACAGTTTTGTTGCATGCTAGGTTCAAAGAGAATTGTGCATTATATGCATGCAAATCCTTCCCGTTAATGTTATTGTTCCTATGTGTTGACTTTAGTAACTCAAGAACTTCATCAGACTAGTCAAATACTTTCTCAGTATATGTATAGTATTCGCTTATGGGTTATCAAAGATAATAAGGATGATTGAAAGGTGATTATGATTTAAATTTCATATTTAACCAATATGTCAACACTTGAAGCTGTCAATGCCAATTAGAGACTGACCAGTTGCAGTCCTAACACATCGATGGGAAGATTCAAACAAACAATGCTAAATGAATTTAAACTTCATCCCATCGCACAAGTAAGTGGCTATCAGGACTCAGTAGCCGAGTGGATAACGCGGTGGTTTTGGAGCGAAAGGTACTGGGTTCGAGTCTCAGAGTGCACATCAACTGTGAGATGCCAGTGCATCCAGCTGACGAGCCCCGAATAGGACGAAACGCGCGTCCTGAATTCCACTTCTAGCCAATATCCATCTTTCATGTCAATGTTATGTTTGCTAGTCAGTAGTAATCAACAGTAAGACTGTCGTGAATGTACATTACCTCAAGATGGTATTTCATAAAAAGACGAATAACAGAGGCTGATAGTTAAACAGTTCAAGAACTAATGAAAGGATTCGATAAGACAAAATGAATGGATATTAATGAAAGTATACTCTGACTTAAGATCTGGATGGAGATGAAGAGTGAATGCATTTACTCCACTGTGAACGATGTTGAGCTATGTCACTCAAAATGTAAGTCGGCTCTGTTGAGATAAGATGGTGGTTGGAGGTGGTCAACAGGAAACCCTGGACCCGGGTTTTGTGCTACTTGGCACTCATCAGCAAGGTGTACTCGTAATCTTGAGGGAACTGGTGCTCTCTGATGGATTTGACACGTATGACATTGACTACCCAGTGATCAATCAATTGTGAAGTCGGCTATGTGTTATACATTTATAACATAATAGTCAATTCACCTTATTTCCTTTGTCTGTACTTTTCTTTCAAGTTATATGCCAAACAATTTATGTCAACGTTGAAATACTTACATAGTCACAAACGTTATTCAAAATTGGTGATTTATATTGAAGCATGTGAATCAGGTTCCATGTTCCAACGAATACTACCGTCGAATCTAAATAGTGAGTTCAATTTTGTAATCAGTACCCTTTTTCACAACACAGAATTAATGTGATTATTTAGCTTATTATCCTTGGTGTATCATCTGATGTGAGGATTTGAAGTTTGTAGTTGAAGAGTTCCCAGGAATAACGAGTAACGGTTTACAGTTCATGAGGTATGTCCACTTAAGAAGTACAAATTATCACTGCACAATTGACCGTCTACTCTTTTTTTACTTAAGATTATCGTCATCAGTGGAAATTCCACGAACACGGTCAGGAAGTTAACTGTCATCATAAATCCATTAGTCAACAATTGTTCTAGGATAAACTAGGAGTTTCATAATTGAAAGCATGAGTCAATTGAAGCTAGACCACCATGGAAAACCTGGAAGCACTGGACGGCCGTTCCATCCTATTGTGGGACTCCTCAGCAGTGCGCATCCACGAACCCTCACTTGCGAGATTTGGACCCAGGTGGTGGTCTTGCTTCAGTTGACTAATGCTTTCAACTATGAAACATACTAAATCTCCACAAAATCCCTTCTGATAATTAATATAAACTAGGAGTCCCAACATCAACATACTTCAATATAACACATGTTATCTATGTGTTGTATTAGATTTCAAGTGGGAATATATGTGTAGGTTCAAAGTGTATTATGGCATGTATATTGATTGAATAGAACCAGCAATGAAATTGACATTGTTTGTAGATTAAGTACAACATAATGGTTGTGCTTTCATTGAAATTGTGAAGATTCTATCACTTTTTTCGAAGATTCTATCACGAATCTCGCATTTCATATCGACAAACATGGAGATATATGAATCCTAAAATTTTTGTTATTTTCCATCACTTATTGACATTATTCTGAGGGAATTCCATTATGAATTCATGTTCACACTCAGTAGACACTTGAAGAGGTACCACGAACAGTTATATTATTGTAGATGAAATGTATGCGAACTCGAGAACTTCATTTGCAGTGTCAGTGAGATATGAATAGCACAAGAATACCTTTGAGGATGGAACCATCAAGATAGATGGTTCAATTTTTCCACTGGATACTTTAATATGGTGTGTCTAGATGTCGTTTGTGAAAACTTCGGAAGTTCTTGATAATTTCATTCTATATTCTCTTATGTCGAATATGAATTGTTCACTCCTTTCGATATTGTACAAATCGTTTTGTAAGAACAATCGGTTCTATGATTTGTGATTAGTCATGTATGATTAACAAAGAAAGTCACAAGAAAAGGGTTGATTGTTGGGATAGAAAGAATTCTCAGAAGTGACAAATAAACTTGATCATGAACAATAAGATCTTTAGTGTTATTAGGTGCAACAAGTGGGAAATTCTGAGGTTAAACGTAGAGTACTAGTTAGGTATAGCAAATGGATTTATGAGGTAATGAACATTTCTCAGCTGTGATGTTTAGTACATACATTGCGTGTATCCGTCTAACAACTACCTAAATGGACGATACTGCCTGTTGTAGGAGTAGGTTGGAAGAAAGCTACGGACAGTCAAACTAAGACATGACATCAGTTCATGAAAATAATGACTTCTGAACTAAACCATATAGGTGAGGATCTCTTGGTCGGGATTTGTGGTGTAATTGTAACCAATGGTTGGAGACCATGTGATATGGCTCTGAATTGTTCGCATTCACACAACCGTACTCACGTTTTATCGTCTTTTAGAATTTGAATGTGTAACGTTACATTTGGAAGAAATTTTCATCTAATACTTCTTCGATTTTTTCTTTTTACTTTACAGTTTACGCAACTACAGCTGCTAGTCCAACTGAATCTAGTTATGGTACATTTTGTGATGATCCAAAAATATCTGCTTGTCTAGCTGATTTATACTCATACGACTGGATTGTTGACTCACAAACAGTAGGTTATATACAGATATCTATATCTGTACTTAACATGTCGACACAATATCAAATCATTTTAGACATATAATCAGATATAATAAACGCTATGGATGTTTACCGATTCGGGTAGAAGTTTATGTTGATGATGTCGTTCAAAAGAACGATGAAAGCTCCACGATCAAACCATCTAGCTCAGAGAGCATAACTCCATCAAAATCACCCACCTGAGCTACAAATCTTCTCCACCATCTCAAATTCGGAATAGTCCTAAGTGATTTGAATCACCACTGAATCGCTCTTAGAACTAGATTGTTTACACTAATTAATAAATGGAAAGTCACTAGTGTTATCTTATCTAATTTTGGAGAAGCTCAGTTTTATACAGGATACAAGCATGTGTTTGTTGTACAAGTTAAAATCCTGCTTCGGTTTGGGCACCTGGGCAGTATCACAGCCCACACACAAATTATTTTGTGTGGCGCATATGTAGCTGGTGCCCTTTTGTACCAATATATATGTGTTTAAATAAATAAATAAAAAAAAACAAGTTAAAATACAACACAATGTAAGTCTTACTTTCTAAGATAAAGTGATTAGCTTCGGCTTCCAAATCTCATGCCTTCACTTTCATGCACACTTATTCCTATGTCTATTGGATAGCATAATCTAAACAATCACTGTTTTTTATATGATGACGGTCCTCGTAGAAAACACCTATTCGGTTGTTTAGTTTGCCCATGGATTTTTATGATGAATTGTATATGGTAGTGTGATGTCGAATAACAGCTGTTAATAATCACATTGCAGGCTCAACATCAAAATAGTGTTGGTTATGAAATCGAAAAATAGCAGGCTTATGTCCTACATATAGAAGTTAATTTTGGATAGACAATAATACATATATCTCGGTAGCTGGAACTAAGTTCCAACCCATATGGGATATGATGGAAGACAAGGGGACAAACCAGTAAGACACAGTTTCACAATAATCCTTATTCACCAAATCCTTTTCACTTACCTATACATTAAGCATTTTGTTGAATATATCTAATGTTTCTAATGTTTCTCTTCATTTTAAAGCATCATTTAACACAACGAACACTCGATCAACAGTATAAAGAGGTTAAACGTGAAACGAATCTTAGTCATGTTCAGAGATATGGTGATACGGTAAGCACCTACTATATATGTGACTAAATATGTGACACTCTCTCAATTTGGTAATGACAGGCAATGTCATACTGCTAATCACAGTTGATTGATCACTGAGTGGTGATCAATGTCATGCGTGTCAATTCCTCCTTAGTGCTGATCGAATGCTATCGATTAAGTTGCAATTCGGCCACTAGTCTAGGTGGCTCGACACTGCGTTCACTATGTTGAGATAAGATAGTGGTTGGAGATGGTCAACAGAAAACCCTGGACCCGGGTTTCATGCTACTTGGCACTCGTCAGCAAGGTGTACCTGTAATCTTGAGAGAACTGGTGCTCCCTGACGGATTCGATCCCGTGTCACTCAGCTTTACACTCAGAGACGTTACCACTGAGATATTCGGGCCGAGATCGACTTCCTGTAGGACTGAGATGTTATCACAATTGATTAATCACTGGGTTGTGATCAATGTCATGCGTGTCAAGTCTTTGCTGATGAGTACCAATTAGCACAAAACCCGGGTCCAGGGTTTCTTGTCGACCACCTCCAATCACCATCTTATTGTCATGCTGCTAACTTGACAATTGAATAATTATTGATAAAAATTGTAATACATTATTTTCTAGTTAAAGTTATGTACATGATTGTCATAGTTTGTGTTATGGTTGAGATAATACTTAGTCACCCAAGTTGAAGTAAATAGTTTTTCATGTAACCACTCTCCTAAATCTTGATCAAATGTATAATATATAAGGGAGTGTCTGAATATCAGGAGGTTCCGTGACATTGTTAACTATCAACCAAAATAGTTCAGAACATTATTCACTACTTCACTGTTCTAAGATCAGCTGTTTGAACATATAGGTTTTTAACTGTTCTAAGTGAACTGATTGTTGAAACAACCTTAAGGGCTATACGACTGTGTTTGAGCTAACATTTTCATGTGAACACCTTCCTACCAAAAACCGATCAGTAGAACTTCTATGTAAGAGATTATAAACTCAGAGTGGTGTTGGAATAATTCAGAAGAGTAACGGAGAAGTAAAACAGAACTCTATCAAAGTAGTTGATAATTAACTAATAAGTTTGCCAATCTTTGAGCATATATCCTAATGGATCTATTTTGTTGTGAAATAAAACTCATGAATCCAGAGCGATGCGATTTTTACACTAAATTATTTAATTAAATAAGCCTAGATTCAAACAACATGCTATCAGTTATTGTGGACTATCAATAAACCGCGATACTTGGCATTCAATAGTTATGATGATGATTTTGATGATGATGATGATGATTTAGATGATGATGATTTAGATGATTTAGATGATGATGATGATGATGATGATGATGATGATGATGATGATGATGATGATGATGATGATGATGATGATGATGATGATGATGATGATGATGATGATGATGATGATGATGATGATGATGATGATGATGATGATGATGATGATGATGATGATGATGATGATGATGATGATGATGATGATGATGATGATGATGATGATGATGATGATGATGATGATGATGATGATGATGATGATGATGATGATGATGATGATGATGATGATGATGATGATGATGATGATGATGATGATGATGATGATGATGATGATGATGGAGAGAGCAACTACAATGAAGTCATACTAAACACAGTACAAGTGATGTTTTCTAAAACATTAATTAAGAGACCTAATGAATGCTGTTTTGTTGTCTACCAAAGTGGTTGGTTTTTAGTCGCTTAGATCGAAATGACGTCTTTAAATAGGAAATGTTAGACAATAGTGATAATCGAATTTAATGTCTTTTGTTTGCTTGTCTGTCTAATTGTTTTTAATAGAAAATGGGTAAATTATACGTTAGTGAATTTCAAGGAAGTCGAGACAAGGCATCAACTGAGAACGATGAACCTCCAATGAAAGTAAGTCATACCTAATTAATGTGTAATTACTTCCATAAAAGAAAACTGAGAGATGTTTCTGACCAACATACTGCAGGTGAACGGTTAACAGATTCCTGACAAACTTCATGTTACACATGGATACCATTTACAGCTGATTAATGTTTTAATTATCAACTAGTGATATTAATGGGGTTTTCCACAAAAAAGATCCATCTGATTTCTCCCAAGTATACTTGAAGCATTCAACTGTTTGGGACAAAAATACGCTGGTGGTGAACTGAAAGCAGGAACATCAGAATGCTTGTCTAATTGTTAAATAACTATTCATTAACCAAATACCAAATACATATTCGTCACACAAATCTCATTTGATTTGTGTGAGGGCTGATGCTGCCCAGATGCCCAAACTGAAGTAGGTGGTTTTCTTAGGGGGCCGCACCCGGAGCCTTTGACCTAAAGGTCTGATCCACAAGGCAGTGGAGCATCGTGAGGAGATGCAGTCCCATGGTAGCCGGCGACCGACGATCGATTCATATGCCATTTGTTCCATCAGGATACTGTAGCTCATGTGCATCATTGGTTTGGAATGAGGGTTTTCCAACTCCCCTAGGTGGACTTTCCGTGTTCACCAACCCGGTTAAAGCGCCGGACATTCACATTTCGTCCTCTCAATTTCGTAAGCAACAGTAATGCCACGAGAAGGCGGTGAATAGGACTTTCCTGTCAGAGGCTATATACGCGTGGCCATATGAGAGTATTTCGTGATGGAGAGTGTACTCTCCCCACTCTCATCCGTACCAGGGTAATCGGGGGCTCATTAACACAGGAAATCTTTACATTATCATGAATAGCCATCACTAATATTTATCCCAATTTATGAAGTAATTATTTGTTTCACATTGGAGATTAAAAGATCATGATTGAATGGATGATGAAGACACTAGAAACTGATTTGCACTAATAAGATATAAACTAGAAACGAATTCGGTTGTTAACCACAATACCATGTGTTTCAGTTAGGTGTGGGAATACAGAAAGATTATATTTGATCGTTGACTACAATGAATTATGATCTCGTGAAAACACAGAACCATTGAAACATCGTTTATCAATATATAATGATAGTGGAAACAATGAGTGGATGATTTCTGTTCCTTGATCTAACTGTCGAATGCACAGTCCAATAATGTCACCTAGATCACTCATCAGTTTGAAACAAGGTTTCAGGTAGAAAAACTTTCAAATGCATTGGTCAGTAAAGTGTGTTGATTTTAATTCAATTGACTCACGCTTTCAACTATGAAAATACTAAATCTCCACAAAAAACCCCTTCTGATAATAATAATAATAATAATAATAATAATAATAATAATAATCAAATGCTCACCAATGACTGAATTGAAGAGATATTTCGTGGAGTTCTAGTGAGAAGCAGTGACCAGTGGAGTTGAAGCCACGTCTGTTGTGAGATGTCAACTGACTGAAGACAATCGGTGAAAGGTTGCTCAACTTCGTGGATTGGTTGAAGTTAGACATTAACACCATTGCATGCCGGCTCACTGGTGTATCGGCTAAATGCTCTGGCTCGAGACTGATAAGTCCTGGGTTCGAATCACACGAGTGTGGGATCGTGGGTGCGCACTACTGAGGAGTCCCGCAATAGGACGAAACGGCCGTCTAGTGCTTCCAGTTTTTCTATGGTCGTCTAGCTTCAATTGATTCACGCTTTCAACTATGAAAATACTAGACCTCCACAAAAACCCCTCCTAATTTTAATTCCATCATTTCCTATCAACAAACTTCATGTCTCAAAATGTCAATGTTTTGTCAATAGAATTCAAGTTTCATAATTTAAACAAGCACTAGATAATCATTTCTATGTTTTGTTTTCATTTAGCCAAAGCATTCCATCGCTTCAAGAGATATTCCATTGCATAGTCTACATCGTCAAATAATGATGACCAATAATGCAGAAGATAAAAGCTTACTAATGCAAATTCTTGGTTTGAAACTGAAGGTGAGGTGTTTTTCCCTGACCATTACTTATTTAACTTTGTTGATGTATCCACTCTTTTCCACTTATTGTTACATGACACTGATTTTCAATATATCCCAAGCTATCACAGTTCACAGTTATATAATATTCCCTTATCGGCCAGGGTAATCTTGCACTGGTTTTCAGGAGAACCAGACATCATCCAGACTTTCACGCGGCAACGCAAACAATACAGCTCAATCCCGTTTAACAGGACAGCCAGACAGTGATCAGGCTTAGCCCAAGCAGTACAGCTCAATCACGCCCTATAGGAGAACCAGACGCTATATAGGCTTCAACGCTACAATCCGAACGGTACAGCGCAATCCTGTGGCGCAATCACTCAGGTAACAAACACCCTGGTGGACCTATCACCACTACATATTTTATAGAATTTTTCTCTTAGAATTATCACAATAGTCTGGACATAAATATTCAACTATATAGACAATTCTGATAAATCTTTCACCCTTCTAACAAGTCGACCCCAATGAAAACTTTTATGGTAATGGTAATATTTTTAAATGGTAGTGTCTTTCGGAAGTTGATGTTATTAATCAGTCTCTCATGACAAACATGTATTCTGCACAGACTGTCTCAATAATGCCATTTAGTCACAAGTTCGAATTAGAGTTAGAAAGGTGACAAACAATGGTATCCAGGAAGAACATGTTGTTTTAATTTAGTCTTGTCAGTGGACTAACCTTCATCCCAGTGTTGTTGCTTATATACGAACTGCAGCCCGGTACACTTCGGTGAACATATCCATTGTATTATCCACTGAGGTACCAAGCCTAGATTTATACTACCTTTAGTACTAGGTACGAATTCAATTTTTAAGTATATTCTTTCTCTTAGTATTGTTTGTTTGGATCTTCCCATCGATGTGTTTAGGACTGCAACTGGTCAGCCTCTAATTGGCATATGTGCATACTGTGCGTATTGCCTCGATATACCTTAATTCACAAGCATGGTAAGCAGAGATGGATAGTGGCTAGCAGTGGAATCCAGGACGTGCGTTCCGTCCTATTTGGGACTCGTCAGCTGGATGTACCTGCATCTCAGAGTTGATGTTCACTCTGGGACTCGAACCCAGTACCCTCGCTTCAAACGCCATGGCGTTATCCACTCAGCTACTGAGTCCTGATAGCCACTTGCTTGTGGCCGAGTGGATAACGCGATGGCGTTTGAAGCGAGGGTACTGGGTTCGAGTCCCAGAGTGAACATCAACTCTGAGATGCATGTACATCCAGCTGACCAGTTCCAAATAGGACAAAAGGCGCGTCCTGGATTCCACTGCTAGCCACTATCCATCTCTGCTTACTATTCTTTCTCTGTTGTAAATAAATGAATTCATATCACAGTAGTACGTATACTGTTTCTATCTGGTTCAAATAACGTTTTCTCTTAGAAAGCGTAAACTACATCCTGAAAGGTTTTTTACACTGTACAGTCTGTCATTACGTAACCACGTGCTTTGAGATGTTGATTCATTGAGTATCTCTTCAAAACTCTGATGAATGTTATCAAAGTTCACAGTAGTATGAGACATGAAAAGTGAATTAACATAAAGCGAGTCCAAACAAGCAGCTTGATACATTCCATAATATTATTCTAATATTTAATCAGTCCGGCAGATTCAAAGTGCTTTTCTTAATTCCCAATCAATACTTGATTGGAGTCAGTCATTCTTATGTGAATGATTTCACATATATGTTACTTCTTTACTTATAAATGCAACCGGTGGTGTATTCAGTAATAAAGTTCGTCGTAAATCATTATCTTTCTCTTCTCACCAATACGATTTGTATAAAAGCCATTTAGGGTTGTTTAACTTCTCTTCATTTATTTTATAGTATCTGTTGATCGCTAACGGATATTTTCATTATAGTTGGTCTGTAGAGACTGTTGAATATCATTGTTTACATCATGGACTGATCCTAATTAGACAGGAAAACTATGAGATGAGAACTCATTGGTCTGAAGGTTAAGTCTTCACATAGGGACGTGAATATTACAGGTTCAACTGTCGATGAGCTCATCTATCCACACTGTTGAGAAGTCCATAGTGGAACTCAACAACTTTCCATTGCTTTCTTGTTAAAAAACGTTATGTAACAGCGATCATCCAGTGATGTGAACCAAATCACTGAACATTTTACCTTCACTTGTTTGATGTTTATAAGATGCTATATATTGATCCGTTTATTTCGTACGAGTTCATTTCAAGTGAAAAGATATTTAGTGTTGAGTCGGCTTCCGGAGAACTTCAACGGAGCCTCCAGAGGCCCAAAAGGAGACGAAGAGCCCTAGCCAATCAGAGTATGATGGGACATCCTAGAATTCCAACGTGGCGTGCTACTATCGGTCGGTAGCATAATATGTCGTTAACGGATTGGCTGAAATATGATGTTGATTTAACAGACGCTAACACCTACAAATACCTATGATTTTCTGTACAAGAACGAACCTTGGAGTAAAGTTTTTTTCTCTCATACTTGCGTCTTCTCTCTGATGTTCAAGTCGCTAAGTAGTTCTAGCCTATGGGTTACCAGAATAGCTTAGGAAAACGAATATAGCGTTCAATCGACAAGACTTATCATTTAGAACAACTCAATCATACCATTCACAAATTCTCCTCGTATATTACGTGTGTTAGATGTATATTTATCTCCCTACTATTTAACAGCATTTTAATGTAATTTTTGACAGAGAAGAGATCTCATTGAGGACACTATGAAATTGATAGTGAAAGAAATGAATAATGAAGAAATACCAAATACCAAGGCAACTATCGATCAAACATTGGATTGTACAGAATCCGTCTATGAACAGTTCAAAAGTAAATGTTTCACACTACAACAGGTAAATACTTTCATTCGAGTGGATCAATCTTCCAAACAAATTACATCTCATTTATATAGTCTCATCTGTAATGACAAACTCACTTTGATATGTTGATGGACCCTTTATATTTCACTGAGAAGCGTACACTTTTCTAATTAGGTTGACATAGCCATGAGTGTGTCAGTTGTGGTCTGCCATTTGTGGCTTTTATTCGAATGTTACCACAAGAGAGATTTCTAACGTTTCAACAATGTCGACAGACAGACAGACATAGAATGTCAGTCATTCTGTTAATGCTAGTGAAAAGCGTATTCAGAAAAGAACTAGTATAAAAATTAATTGTGATTTAAAATGATATCAGCTTTACTGGATTGTAAACACTTAGAGATTTCAGGTAGATTTGTTTGAAACGAAGACTTACTGAATATAGAGTCTGAAGTGAAACCACTTAATTACTTACTTTCGCCTGTTACTCCCAATGGAGCATAGGCCGCCGACCAGCTTTCTCCAACCCACTCTGTCCTGGGCCTTCTTTTCTAGTTCTTTCCAGTTCTTGTTCATTCTTCTCATGTCTGTCTCTATTTCTCGGCGTAATGTGTTCTTTGGTCTTCCTCTTCTCCTTTGACCTTCACGATTCCATATGAGGGCTTGTTTTGTGACACAGTCGGGTGCTTTCCTCAATGTGTGTCCTATTCACTTCCAGCATTTCTTCCCCATTTCTTCCTCCACCGGATGAAATCTGGTTTGTTGTCTCCCACAGTAACTTGTTGCTGATAGTGTCTGGTCATCGGATCCGAAGTATCTTGTGTAGACAGCTGTTAATAAACACTTTTATCTTCTGGATAATGGATTTCGTAGTTCTCCACGTCTCTGCCCCATACAGAAGAACTGTCTTGACATTTGCATTGAAAATTCTAACCTTGGTGTTGGTTGACAATTGTTTTGAGCTCCAGATGTTTTTCAGCTGTAGGTATGCTGCTCTTGCTTTGCCGATCCGTGCCCTCACATCTGCATCTGATCCACCGTGTTCATCAATGATGCTGCCCAGATATGTAAAGATTTCCACATCCTCCAAAGCTTCTCCGTCAAGTGTAATTGGATTGGTGCATATTGTATTGTATCGGAGAGTCTTGCTTTTCTCTTTGTTTATATTGAGACCTACTGCTGCTGAGGCTGCTGCTACACTGGTCGTTTTCTCCTGCATTTGTTGTTGCGTTTGTGATAGAAGAGCCAGATCATCCGCGAAGTCTAAATCGTCAAGCTGCATCCTGCCTGTCCACTGTATCCCGTGCTTTCCTCCAGATGTTGACGTCTTCATAATCCAGTCGATCACCAGGAGAAAGAGAAAGGGTGGGAGTAGGCAACCTTGCCTAACTCCGGTCTTTACCTCGAACGAGTCGGTGAGTTGTCCTCCGTGGACGATTTTGCAGTTTAGTCCATCATAGGAGTTCCGTATGATGTTGACTATCTTCTCAGGCACGCCGTAGTGTCGAAGAAGCTTCCATAGTGTCGTCCTGTCCACGCTATCAAATGCCTTCTCGTAGTCGATGAAGTTGATGTACAGTGATGAATTCCATTCGATTGATTGTTCCACAATGATACGTAGAGTTGCGATTTGATCTGTGCACGATCTATCCTTACGAAATCCAGCTTGTTGATCTCGAAGTTGAGCGTCCACGGAATCCTTCATCCTGTTTAACAATACTCTGTTGAAGACTTTTCCTGGTATTGAGAGGAGAGTGATGCCCCTGTAGTTGTCGCACTTGCTCAGATCGCCTTTCTTTGGTATCTTGATAAGAAGTCCTTCTTTCCAGTCTGTTGGTACATGTTCTTCGTCCCAAATCTTACCGAAGAGGATGTGGAGTATCTTGGCAGTTGCTGTTACATTTGCTTTCAGTGCCTCTGCCGGGATGTTGTCTGGTCCCGCTGCGTTTCAGCTCTTGGTTTGTCTAATGGCCATGCTGATCTCTTCAATTGTTGGTGGGCCAATATCGATTGGGAGGTCTGTGGGTGCTGCTTCGATGTTGGGTGGGTTCAGTGGATCTGGTCGATTCAAGAGTTCCTTGAAGTGTTCTACCCACCTGTTTCGTTGTTCTTCAATATCGTTGATTACTTTGCCTTCCTTGTTTTTCACTGGTCTTTCTGGTTTACGGTAATTTCCAGCAAGTTTCTTTGTTGTATCATACAGTTGTCTCATGTTTCCCTCTCTTGCAGCCTTTTCCGCTGTCATCGATAAATATTCCACATATTTACGTTTGTCGGTTCTGATGCTCCTCTTCACTTGCTTGTTTGCCTCTGTGTATTCGGCTTGTGCCTTGGCTTTTTCTGCTATTGTTCGGCTGATATTGATTGCTACCTTCTTGTTCCTCATTGCTTCAATCTTATCCAGTGTACCAACAGTGATCCATTCCTTGTGATGGTGCTTCTTTTGGCCCAGAACCTCCTGACATGTTGAAACGATTGCCTCCTTGATACCTTTCCAGCTGCTCTCTATGGTGGTTCCATCTCCATTGAGTAGGTCATGAAAGGCCTCGAACCTGTTGCTGAGGGCTATGTTAAATTCGTTGAGTTTGTCAGCATCTCGAAGAAAGGCCGTATTAAACTTTTGTGATGTTGTCCGCACAGTTGTCCACTGCTTCTTGAGTTTTAGTTTCATCTTGGCGACCTGCAAATGGTGATCGGATGCCATATCAGCTCCTCTTCTGGTTCTCACATCCTCCATCGTCCTCCTGAACTTTTTGTTGATGCAGACATGGTCGATTTGATTTTGTGTAGTGTGACCTGGTGAAATCCAAGTGGCTTTGTGTATGTTTTTGTGTGGGAGTATGGTGCCACCTATGACCAGTTTATTGAAGGCACATAGGTTTGCAAATCTCTCACCGTTTTCGCTCCTTCCTCCCAGTCCATATTGTCCCATGACGTCGTATCCAGTGTTGTCCTTTCCAACCTTGGCATTGAAATCTCCCATAAGAATGGTCAGGTCCTTGGTTGGGCACTTCTCGAAGATTGACTGCAGCCTATAGTAGAATTGGTCTTTAGCGTCTTCATCGTAGTCGTTGGTCGGCGCATAGCATTGGATGATGTTCATTGTAATGCCCTCTCTCTTTGTTCTGAAGGAGGCTTTGATGATCCTCGGTCCATGAGATTCCCATCCTATAAGTGCATTTTGTGCTTTTCTAGACAGCATCAGTGCCACTCCTTGTGTATGTGGGGCATTTTCTTCTTCATGACCGGAGTATAACAGAAGTTTCCCTGAAGACAGTCGTTGTTGTCCAACCTGCGTCCAATGTGTTTCACTGATTCCAAGCACTACCAGGTTGTATTTCCTCATTTCCGCAGAAATTTGGAAGACTCTGCCGGTCTCCCACATTGTCCGGACATTCCATGTACCTATAAAAATTGTCGCTCTGGTTGTAAGAAGGTGAAGTGAAACCACAGCTGACAGAAATAATTTTCAGAGGAATGAGAACTTTAAGTTCCATGTACAACAAAATGTTTGTTGTTATCTATTTCATTTAAATTGGCAGCAAAAGTTATACGATAATGAATTTTGCCTCAAATACGATTCTCCTGATCTGAAATCTGTTTGATTCAGTGTATAGGGATGACATATTTATGTTGAACACTGCATGTGACAGGTTTACGGTTAGGATGGGTTTGCGAAAGTACCAATTTTTTCTTAACAAACAAGAAGAGATTGAATTTCCGTACGTCTAAGACTCAGAACAACCTACGTACAGGAATTCTGTGTTGAAATCAAAATCTCATGACCTGTTTCAACTATACGCGAAGCAATGGATGAGGATGGATGTTTGTTATCTGCTCTTATTGGATTATTTGTTTGTAGTCGTTTTGACGTTCATCTTAACACACGTTTTCTACAAGCTACATTACTGAACTTCATGACAACTGTGCATTTCATCATGTCAGTTGAGTGATTATATACTCAGTAAACTATAAGATACTTTTGGTAAGCAAAGATGGATAGTGGCTAGCAGTGGAATCCAGGACGCGACTTTCGTCCATTTTGGAACTGGTCAGCTGGATGTACCTGCATCTCACAGTTGATGTTTACTCTGGGACTCGAACCCAGTACCTTTTTCTTCAAACGCTATCGCGTTATCCATCTCTGTTTACCATGCTTGTGAATCAAGGCTATATCGAGGCAATACACACAGTATGCACATTTACCAAATTAGAGACTGACCAGTTGCACTCCTAAAAACATCGATGTGAAGATTCAAACAAACAATACTAAATGAATATAAGATTTTCAGTATCTCCTGTTAGCATATTCAAACTAAACACAACATATCTAATTAAACATTAAACAATTTTATCCGTTTGAATTGATTTCAGGCTCCAGAAGTTGGAGGGCACTTTTCTACTCTTTACAATTATTGTGCGGATGGTTATACAGCTGAAACGATCAATGAAGCAATCATAAAAATATGCGGTTAAATCAAAATTAATTTCTCAGTGTAATAAACTTTGTTGGTGTGGAATTTTAAATAAATGATTCTTTTCACAATAACAAGCCTTTATTCACTATAGCTAAAGTTAAGGGTGATTTACTCATTGAGCTGGGTCACTTGATTGTTAAGTATCCAGTACATTTTTAGATAATTGAATTCAACTCAAATTCGATGGTGACGACCTCGTAGTGACAGTAAAACTGTCAGCCAGTCAGTCACAACGTTGAACTTCGTACGTACGTACATTAGTTCGAGTCGCCATATCACATTAGCATAGAGATGCAGTTGTCGATTCAAATCCCATAGTGGTAGAAGGAGTTAGAGTATAAGCATTATGTGAGAGATTAGGGTTTGAATATGTTATTCAAGGAGTATAATCCAGTGCAATAAATTTGGAAAGAGAAGAAAGATGGAGACATTAAGCATTCAGTTTAAAATTTGACAGAACACATAGAGTGGATGCACCTTCACCATTTCAAACGATTTTGAGCAATATCATTCAAGGTCTCTAACTTTCGATTGCTAGCATCTCGTGAATCCCAACCAGGTAGTCTACACCTACCAACATGACTCAGTCCACTTGTCTGTGACTTCATGGATTTGTGCCACGTTTTGGTCTGACCGCCCCTAGTTTTCTTCCAACCTAATCCTACACCATAAAACATTGCACGTTGAAGCAGTCGGTGGTTGGGCATACGTAACACGTGTCCAAGCCATCTCAACTGATGAAGTTTCACTACTACAACAATCGATTTGCCATCCTTACCTAGTACCTTTTTCTCAACAACTGCATTACTTAGTCGGTGATCCCAGGATAAATGAGCAATGCTTCGAAGACACCTATGATCGAATACTAGAAGCCTACGAATATATTTTACTCTTATCAGCTATGTTTCATTTCCGTAAAGTAGGACGGAACGAACTGTTGCGCAGTAAACCCGTCCTTTGATTGGTAGTTGGATATCTCGCCTACGACATAAATGACGCAAGTTGGTGAAAGCTAGTCGAGTTTTCTGTATCCGTGCTGAGATTTCGTCACACACCAGACCACAAGGGCTGATGAGACTCCCAAGATATAAGTGATGTGGTCAACACGCTCAACTGCTTTACTACCTATCATTAGTTCATGTGACGATGCGACCCAATCCTGAAGTAACATTTTGCACTTCGAGGGGGAGAATCGATAATGTAAAATCAAAAAGGTATTAATGAATAATAATAGTTGTAGTCGTAGTAGTAGTACAAGTAACTGTTGAGAATGCTATTCTAAAGCTGATCAAATAAAATATTTTCAATATTTTTTTCTTAAGAATTTACGGGGGTTATTATCGTTTCTTAATATCTAATCTATCTGAAAACGTGTTTCAAGTTATTCTTGTCTAGAGAACTTGTTGTTTAATTCGTCAAGTCAATAGGTATTGTTCTAATAGAAATAGTGCTCAAAATGCAGATCAATAAGAAACGGATTCTTTTTTCATTTATTCATAATAAACTGTGAATAATGCTAATTAAAGATGCACTGAACAGTAGATACTCTATTAGACATCCGGATCAATATCCTTATATAGATGTTTCTCTCATATAGCCGTTTTGTTGATCCTACAGGTATATTGTTCAGATTGTATGGAATGGCTGATGTATCCAAAGGGAAGCTGGTTTGACTTCACTTGTATAGGTTGATCGATCATAAATTTTTTAAGCTTACGATGCGCTGGGTATCTATGATTTATGCTAAATGAACTGTTAGCAATCCATAATATTTTGAAATAAAGCATTACATGTAGGGAAAAAAATCAGTGAAAACTGTTACAAGTGACAATTGATCGATCACTGGGGGGGGGTGATCAATCAATTGTGATTACATCTCAGTCCTACAAGAGGTCGGTCGCGGCCCGAATAGCTCAGTGGTAACGTCGCTGACTGTAAAGCTGAGTGACAAGGTATCAAATGCATCAGATATGTTTTTCAATTGCCTCGAAGCATTCCTAAGTATTAAATCAATGTCCCCAGTTAAAGGGGGTGTCTTGAATTACCGTCATTACGATAAGGAAAGAAATAATTAAATTGATTTCACGGTGATATGTTGTGCTCTTCATGCAAATCAAGATTTGATACAAACACGTATTTCATAATTCTTTAAAATATTTGATACGTTTTTCACTTAATTATGTGATGTGAACTGTAATTAGCTGATAATGGTGGGTGTTCGCTAACTCTTTCACTTAGTTGTCTGGTAGTATGCCTAATATGTGTTTCTTCATACGTGCAGCTGGATTCGTAGATTAACATAAAACTGGTATAACCAGGTCACCTGTCTGCATTCCTTTTGACCAAAGACCACATTAAAATCGAATGTAAGATACACTTCTTATAATGAAAATTTAACTGCTCTAACAGATTCATATAAATTTATGTAGTCAGTTGGTGTTTATGAGTAGATAGTACCCATCGATCCTTGATTTTATCGAATTGCACGTTTTGTACAAGACTATCAGAATTAATTTTGATCAATCTAGGTTTACTTTGAAGTTGAGCGTGTTGACCACATCACTTATATCTTGGGAGTCTCATCAGCCCTTGTGGTCTGGTGTGTGACGAAATCTCAGCACGGATACAGAAAACTCGACTAGCTTTCACCAACTTGCGTCATTTATGTCGTAGGCGAGATAACCAACTACCAATCAAAGGACGGGTTTACTGCGCAACAGTTCGTTCCGTCCTACTTTACGGCAGTGAAACATGGCCGATAAGAGTAGAGGATATTCGTAGGGCTACTAGTATTCGATCATAGGTGTCTTCGAAGCATTGCTCATTTATCCTGGGATCACCGACTAAGTAATGCAGTTGTTAAGAAAAAGGTACTAGGTAAGGATGGCAAATCGATTGTTGTAGTAGTGAAACTTCATCAGTTGAGATGGCTTGGACACGTGTTACGTATGCCCAACCACCGACTGCTTCAACGTGCAATGTTTTATGGTGTAGGATTAGGTTGGAAGAAAACTAGGGGCGGTCAGACCAAAACGTGGCACAAATCCATGAAGTCACAGACAAGTGGACTGAGTCATGTTGGTAGGTGTAGACTACCTGGTTGGGATTCACGAGATGCTAGCAATCGAAAGTTAGAGACCTTGAATGATATTGCTCAAAATCGTTTGAAATGGTGAAGGTGCATCCACTCTATGTGTTCTGTCAAATTTTAAACTGAATGCTTAATGTCTCCATCTTTCTTCTCTTTCCAAATTTATTGCACTGGATTATACTCCTTGAATAACATATTCAAACCCTAATCTCTCACATAATGCTTATACTCTAACTCCTTCTACCACTATGGGATTTGAATCGACAACTGCATCTCTATGCTAATGTGATATGGCGACTCGAACTAATGTACGTACGTACGAAGTTCAACGTTGTGACTGACTGATTTCACATTACATCGTATATATCAATAATTTTTTTGTCAAATCTTTCAAACAAAGTGTTGTTAAGCTATTGTATTATGTAGCTTCCGTTTTGCATTTTCTTAATAATCATCTCATATTTACTATTATTATCAAATTGATGTGAACATTTACTCATTCGCTAAATGTTGTATCCCGAAGAGAATTGTGAATGGTGACTTTTGAGGACTATTTATGGATCAATATGATATGTATATTTCTTATTGTATAATTGTTAAGTACCTTAACTGGTCATATTCATGTTCCTTTTATAATAAGCTTTATTTTGATCTATAGACTATTATTATACGATTTACCATTCTTGAGTTCTCCCTAGTCTATTGATTACTGTTCCCCCTATTCACAACCATATTTGGCCGAATCTTGTACAAATATTATTTCCTATTTTATTATTACGATGTGATCTGTTTGATTGGTATATAAACCCAGTTTGCTTGAAGTAAATGATTCATATTGCAGAGTCTGTTATTGATGTTGTGAACTTAACTGACTTGACTAGGCAGAAAGTAGGACTGATAAGAACTCAAGACTGCTCATACGGCTTTTGTGTATTATTGATCCGATCAATAAATCATTGTTCTCTAATAGGTGAGCCAAACGATATAAAAACTGGGGCACGCACTCACACGTTATAACACCAAAAAAAAACGACAACAAATAAATCAATAAACAAAAAAGGTATGAAAATGAATAAAAAATAAATCATCTTTTAAATAATAATAATAATAATAATAATAATAATACAAATGAACAAAATCAATATGAGGCGGAAAGATGAAAGAGAAAGATCAACAACAACAAAAAGAAACAGGTTTCTAAATGTAAATTTTTGTTTTGAAAAAAAAAAGAAAAATAAGCCTATTAAGAATTTACTGAATGATCAATGAATTTCGAGTTCCGTAATGGATCTAGTTTATTTAATGGATCATTTGAATTTAACTCTGATTCATGATTATGTAATTCAGTAGTAGTAGTAGTAGTAGTAGTTGAAGAATTGAAAAGATCTTCAAAATCTTGACGAGTATAACGTTTATTATATGTAGAATTTTTAGTTAAATTATTTAAATTTATTAAATGTTCAGGTAGTTTAGAGTTATCTGTTTGTTTATTGATTTCTGAAGATTGTGACAGTAAATTAGGCGGATCATCTGATAATGATATGATAGTTGAAGGATTTACATTGGATTTATCGATTGGCTGTTGTTGTTGTTGTTGTTCATCATTAACAGGCATTTCATTCTATCAAATAGAAGATAATGAAGTAATAAGAAAAAAACTGAGTGAAATAGACAAAATACAATACAATGCATTCAATACATATAGCTCATATCATGGACTGACTTTGGTTAGATAATTGTTGAAGAACAGGAAGTACTGAACAACTATTTCGTCCTAGTATAGGACACCTTAACCATCAACATTCTTGATGCCACTGTGGATGACACCAAGGATCGTCATTCCTCGCGGCGAGAGATTAGCCCTTTCATAACATTGAATTCAACAGTTAACATTTCCAACTTCAGTCAATTCCAGATTATTTATTTATTTGAACACAAAAATATTGGTACAAAGAGGCACTGAATACATATACGCTACACAAGTCACTTGATTCGTGTGTGATACTGCCCGGGTGCCCAGACTGAAGCAAGTGGTTTTCTTAGGGGACCACACCCAGGGCTTTTGACCTGGAGGTCTAATCCACAAGGCAGTGGAGCATCGTAAGGAGATGCAGTCCCATGGTAACCGGTGACCAACGATTGGTTCATTCGCCTTTTGTTTCCTCAGGATCCTAGAGCTCATGAGGACCATTGGTTTGGAACCAAGGTTTTCCAACTCCCCTAGTTGGGTCCCCTATATCTACCAACCCGGTTGAAGTGCCGAACATTTGCTTTTCGTTCTCTCGATTTCGTAACGAACACCCCCACCACGAGAAGGTAGTGAGTAGGACTTCTCTAACAGTGGTTGTATACGCGTGGTCATGTGATAGTATTTCGAAAGGGAGAGTGAACTCTCTTCACCCTCGGCTGTACCAGGGCATTTGAGGACCGATTCCAGATACTAGATGAACACCAACCATTGTTGTTGGTGTTAGTTGTCTCACGCACGAAATGATGAAATCCACACTGCTGAATACTCCCTAACTGAAAAGAAACAGCAGTACAGAGCCTTTTGGTTTTTTTACAGTTTTTTTAATCAAAGTTACTCAACGATGTGAAACCCCGAATTGAACAATCTCTACAATAAAATTCATTTAGTATTGTTTGTTTGAATCTTCACATCGATGGGTTAGGACTGCAACTGGTCAGTCTCTAATTGGCATACGTGCATACTGTGAGTATTGCCTCGATATAGCCTTGATTCACAAGCATGGTAAGCAGAGATGGATAGTGGCTAGCAGTGGAATCCAGGACTCGAACCCACTACCCCATCGCACAAGCAAGTGGCTATCAGGACTCAGTGGCCAACTGGATAACGCAATGGCGTTTGAAGTGAAAGGTACTGGGTTCGAGTCCCAGAGTGAACATCAACTCTGAGATGCATGTACATCCAGCTGACGAGTCTCAAATAGGACGAAACGTGCGTCAAACTGGATTCCACTACCAGCCACTATCCATCTCTGCTTACTAATCTCCACAATACTTCATAAATAACAGCTCAATTAGATATGAAGTTGTCCAGTTACTTAATTAAACACTTTTTTTTACAAATAAGTAAATACCATTTACCTTTAATGTAGCTTGATTTGATTCATTATTTTCTAAATTAGAACCAGTAAACTTATCTTCAGTTTCTACACTATAAGAAGTAGTCAATCCAGATTGATTAGACATGGACCATTTATCAACTACTGAAATTAAATCATCTAATTTTAAAAATTGTTTTGAAAAAAGATTATCCAATGGATTATTCTTATTAAATTGTGTTGAATTAGTGATTGAACTGCTTGCTTCCGAGTTATTCATTGTTGTTGTTGTTGTTGTCGTTGTCGTCAGTGTTGAAGATGATCGATGTTTTGGACCAATCACAATATCATTTTTAGCTAATGTCTCAATAGCAGAATAACCAATTAGACGTACAGCATTATATAATTGATATGAATTATTTAATACACCATAACGTTGTTGACATAAATAACCAGCTATAGTGAATACATCACTCATTCTATTTAATATATCTGCATGTAATATACCAACGGATGCAGTAATAAATATACCACTTAATTCAGTACCATATTCACAAACAACTACTATAGGATGAATTAAATTACGTTGTTGTTTATAATAATTATGTACATGATGAATGAATGTTACTAATTGTACAACATTTCGATCATTCATTGAACTGTTATCATGATCTGATGAAGGTATATTCAAAGGAAATGGATAATGATATGTGAAATGAACTAGACTACGTGTTATTTTTGTATTGTAATCTTGTACAGTAATAATTCGTTCAGTCCATGGATGATGATGATGATAATGATGTTGTGTTGAAGAATTGGAATGACGATTTGAATCATTTATCTCGATATCTCTATTTTGATCATCTTGTGGCATGGTATTCCTTTCAATAGAAGATTGTTTAATAGATTGTAATCGTATTTCTATATGACTTCCAGGTAATAATAATTTAGCACCAGTTTTATTATCTGGCAAATATGTTGGAATACGTAATGGATCATGTTCATCATCAGAAGCTCCTTCACCAGATGAAATCGAGGAATAAAATGACTTATTATTATTATTATTATTATTAGTAGTAGTAGTAGTAGTAGTAGTACGATTCATACGAGATGGTATTAATGTAACTATAATTTCACAATTTTGTTCAAGTATCATTGTCCAAAAATCAATAATTGTTTTAATCATTGGAACTTGTGTAATAATATACCTTGGACACCAATTACCTAAATGATATTGAAAATCAATATAACTTGCATTAATATAATCATTTTTTAATGATTTTAATATTACACGATTATTATCGTAAGGAACATAATTTTGATTACGATTTTTGGATGGACAACATAGTGCAATTGCATGTGTTGGTCGTTTACCATTGAAATAAATAGAAGTTGTAAAAGAATTAGCAATTGTTTGTACTTTTTGCCATGCTTTATTTAATCGAGTTATAGTAGTAGTAGTAAGATTTGATGAAGTTACTGGGATATCGTTATCTCCGGTAGTAATTAATTCATTAGGATTTTCTAACCATGTAAGAAGTAATTCAGCCGATGTAATAAATTGATTTAACACAAGTGGATCAGATAATAATTCCGGTGGTTGACATTTTGATAGGACTGGTTGACAATTAATAGAATTCGGTGTAACAATTGAAGAAGTAAGTGAATCAGATTGGATTGGATTTAAAGAGGAATTTTTATTTTCATTGACAGTTGTAGGATTAGATGATGATGATGATGACGATTTGATAAGAGTTGACGTAGAGGTTGGTAGTGACAGAGAATTTGAATTGCCCGAATAGGCCTCACGTAAACGTTCTTCTCTAAGTTTTGCATCTAAATCATCCTTTAGAAGAAAAAAACACAGAATGATTAGCTATCTATATTGCCTAATGCTAATACCGCTATCATTGAAATCTCAGGATTCAAACGAAGAAGTTAATGACGTGGATTTTAGCATCAAAGTAAATACTTTTCAGCTGACACAAGGTAATAACAAAAGAATAACTGACTAACTGATTGACTGATGTGAAACTATTCGTTCTAATATTGACGAATATTCGTATAAATGACTGATGCTTAATTTTCTCATAGTATGTAATTGCTTCTACAATACAACATGCATCAATCGAATTACACTTGACGGAGAAGCTTTGGAGGATGTGGAAACCTTTACATATCTGGGCAGCATCATTGATGAACACGGTGGATCTGATGAAAATGTGAAGACACAGATCGGCAGAGCAAGAGCAGCATACCTACAACTGAAAAACATCTGGAGCTCAAAACAATTGTCAACCAACACCAAGGTTAGAATTTTCAATACAAATGTCAAGACAGTTCTACTGTACGGGGCGGAGACGTGGAGAACTACGAAAGCCATTATCCAGAAGATACAGGTGTCTATTACCAGTTGTCTACACAAGATACTTCGGATCCGATGGCCAGACACTATCAGCAACAAGTTACTGTGGGAGACAACAAACCAGATTCCATCCGGTGGAGGAAGAAATCAGGAAGAAGCGCTGGAAGTGGATTGGGCACACTTTGAGGAAATCACCCAATTGTGTCACAAAACAAGCCCTCACATGGAATCGTGAAGGTCAAAGGAGAAGAGGAAGACCGAAGAACGAATTACGCCGAGAAATGGAGACAGACATGAGAAGAATGAACAAAAACTGGATAAAAATAAAAGGAAGACCCAGGACAGAGTGGGTTTGAGAATGCTGGTCAGCGGCCTATGCTCCATTGGGAGTAACAGGCGTAAGTAATGTAATTACTTCACTGCTTAAAATATGAACAAACATGTGATGAATGAAACCTATGCACTTATTGATATAAACCATCCAAATAAAATAAAGAAATTAAAAACTCACTTTAGTTAAAACTTGTGGTTCAATAGGAGATATTGATTTCAACCTAGATGACAAATAAGCATCATTATCGGTATCCAGGACTGTTAGAGATGATTCTGAATTGAATGGTTTAATTTGATTTGATGTTTTTTCAGTCGAATTATTACTGTTACTATCAGGATACTGTGAATTTAGGTAAGTCTGAGTTACATTTGTTGGTAGTATTGACTGTGTTGTTGCATTAGTGTTACATTGTGAAACAGAATGTATGGACTGGCTGTGGTTAGGCAGAGTCGTATAGGATTGTTGTGATGCAATCGAAATTTGTCCAGGATTCACAGAGGAATTATTTATATGAGGCATTGGGTTCTGATATGATAATGTATTTGGAAAAGGTGAATTAGATTGACGATATCGAATACCGACCACGTTGAAATTTTCTGTAGGTAATGTTTTTGAATAGTTTTGAGGAGGATTTTGATAAGTCAGATTATTATTGATTGATTGATATGGCCAAACAGACTGAGGAGGAAACTGGTTAGAATTCGTTGATGAATAATTTGGTGAAACTAAAGGATTAGTTGATCGAATGGAAGTTTGAATAAAGTTATTAGGTTGTGAGAATCGACTGTTAACAGGTATAGGAAATTGTGACAGTGACGATGTTGTTGTAGACGTGAGAACAGGAATCCGAGGAATATTCGGAAGAAATCTAGATTCGAATGTACCAGATAAATTATTTGGTTGTGAGGATGGCATATTCGTAGTTTGTGGAAGAAAAGTATTGGGTTGTTGACATGGAGGTACCAAAGGATTTACCATATTAACAACTTGAGGAGCACCATAAGTTACAGTAGGTGAACGATGAACAGCGGTTTGCATTGGATTAGTTGTCTAAAAATAGTGTTTTAAGTAGATCTTATACAACCAAACTTACTTGAAATCCTGCAGCATATGATGAACCAGGCATAGGAACGGCAGCTGGTTGAACGTTAACATCAGTTGTTGGAAACTGTTGAGAGTTGTACAGTGGTGTATATGTCATTGGACCTCTAAAAGGTGGCTAAGACAATAAAGCAATATGTGTGAAAACTACAGTTTTATTATAATAATTTCAAAATAAAAGTACATTTATGTTTTACCATTTATTTCGTCAGCTTTAAAATTGTAAAATGCTCAAAACGAAGTAGATAGAGTAACGTTCAACCCTGTGATTTACTAGTTGAAAGCCTATTACTTTAATCACTAACCCAAAGTTTCTCTTGAGAAAACGTTACTGGAGCATACAAAAAACATTAGATCAATTTATATGCCTAATGGTCAGTAATAAACGAAAAACCATTACAAATCGAAATATAGAAAGAAGAAAAGTCTCTAAATAAAACGAAACAGTTGAAGGACTTCACAATTATCGCACTCTAATACGGAACTCCTAAAAAATACAAATCCAGGACCCAGTCGGAAATTGAATGTACAACATCCAGATTTTATAGCGAACGCCTAACCTTTAGAACCACTGGATTAGTGTAAAACGGTACATAATTCCAATTTCAATCAATTTACAACATAATGCGATGACCATTTAATCCAACTAGTTACAACTGTTTCGCGCCAGGCAAATGTGAACTCCACCGATGTGGTACTTTTTATCGGTTAAGGGTTTGTCGTGAGACCTGAAGGTTTTGGACTCGGTGTCAAAATGAGTCATGGATGCGCATTGCTGAAGAGCCCCATAATAGAACGAAACGGTTATCTAGTGCTGATTATTTACATAGTGAAATTTATTATTTGAGGTACATGGTTATCCTTCACAATTTTTTTGAATGGTTGATTTGAAACGAGAAAAGAAAATACAAGCGGCTACATATTAGGTTGTAAACTAACCAATTATGTTGAGACTAATGGTACTACTAACTGGTTGTCTAAGTTCCTTTCAAACTTGTGACTGTCACTTCACAATTAAATTAAAAACAGACACATGGAAATAATTACTCTACATACCTGGGTAGTAGGATGGTATGGAAAATGTTGGGTAACATTTTTTTGTTTATAGTAAACGTCAGATGACACGGATGGAACAAACGAATTAACTACGGAATGATTCGGTGAAATAGACGTTGTAGCGAATGGTGAAGACACAGTGGCAGGATTCGTGGGTAAATTTAACTGTTGATTTGGTTGGCTTGAAGTCAGTGTTGGCACAGGCCATCCCATTGGTCCCATATACATATTAGGATGAGTAGGTACTGTGGTTGGGCGCATCGCTTTCATGTAATCGCCAAGAGTTGGAAATGAAGGCGTTGACGCAGTCGGTAATTGAGGTGTAGTCCCAATGGTTAGACCTTTATGTATAAGGTAAGAAGAAGAAGCATATTGGATTGAAGAATATATCATTCAACGTTTATTTAACTGACGATAAAAATCGGTATTTACATTACATTTCAAAAACAAAAACGGAAAATGACTAATAAAGTGAATATGAACTACTGTGAGACTATTAAGTTAACAAAATCAAGTTGAACATAGGAAACCAATCTACAGAATAAGATTTTTCGATATAACAGATGCCTGTTCAAAACAAAAATTATATACAGCATATTATGAAGCAATATTTTAACGGTTTGGAATGGGAATACCTAAACCATAGTGCACGAAGTGTCAAGCCGCATTGCAACTTGATTGATAGCATTCGATCAGTACTAAGAAGGACTTGACATGCATGACATTGATCACCACCCAGTGATCAATCAATTGTGATTACATCTCAGTCCTACAGGAGGTCGGTCGAGGCCCGAATAGCTCAGTAGTAACGTCTCTGACTGTGAAGCTGAGTGGCACGGGATCGAATCCGTCAGGGAGTACCAGTTCTCTCAAGATTACAGGTACACCTTGCTGACGAGTGCCAAGTAGCATGAAACCCGGGTCCAGGGTTTCCTGTTGACCACCTCCAACCACCATCTTATCTTAACATAGTGTCGAGTCACCTAGACTAGTGGCCGAATTGCAACTTGATCGATAGCATTCGATCAGTACTAAGAAGGACTTGACACGCATGACATTGATCACCACTCAGTGGTCAATCAATTGTGATACTTAAACTATTATTTAACAGCTTTACTCAATAAAATACTCTATCAACTTGAATGTTTAGCATATGGTAAAATATATCTTAAGAATGTTCAAGAAAAAATGATAACAGTTGTAACAATATAATAATGAAAGATACCTTAACAGGTTTAGTTGAAAAATGATCATCTGAGTAATGTACAATATGATAGGTTTTCTGGGTCATAACGTATGATCTTAAAGGATAAAAGAGAAGACAATTCAAAATAAACACGTTGATAATATCTATAGTTGATTGTTCACTGAATAGTGACTATAATATGTTTATTTAATACTTTAGTAATGGTCAAATTCTATCAATTAAGCTACAATGTAGCTAATAATCTAAGTAACTTGACATTGTATACACTATGTAAATAGATGCTTAACAGTCAGAGGTAGTAAGGAATAAATTCTTCACAACCCAAATTTTATGTTAGTTGCAACTTGTCACTAAGGGATAACATCTATAATCTTGAATAAACTGGTTCTCCCTATAGCATTTGAACTCATATCATTCAGTTTTACAATCTCCGACATTACTATTGACCTATTTGGGGTCTAAAACATCCGGCGGGGGGGGGGAAATGATAAAAGCATAATGATGAAAAAAAAAAAGAGAAAATTTAACTAAACTTACTAGATACAGGTTTTGATAATTCATTCATTGATAAATTTAATTGATTATTAAAATTTTTAATAAATTGATCAATTTCTTTATCAAGATCATTTAATTGATTAATTAATTTATTATAAAAATTAATGCCTTGTTTTGATTTCAATAGAATATCATTGAATGCTTCATTAGTTAATAATATATTATCGATTTGTTCAGAACGTCTAATGATAATCAATAAAAATGATTGTAGACAGATTTGTATAATGATAATTAAATAATTTTATTAAAAAAAAAAAAATTTCTTAGACAAACAATTTTACATTATTTAAATATATCAGATTTATTTATTTATTTATTTATTTAAACACATAAATATTGGTACAAAAGGGCACCAGCTACATATGCGCCACACAAATCTCATTCGATTTGTGTGAGGGCTGTGATACTGCCCAGGTGACCAAACTGAAACAGGTGGTTTTCTTAGGGTGACACACGCGGAGCCTTTGACCTGAATGTCTGATCCACAAGGCAGTGGAGCATTGTGATGAGATGCGATCCCATGGTAGCCGTTGACCAATGACAGGTTCATCCGCCATTCGTTCCATCAGGATACTGGAGCCCATGTGCACCATTGGTTTGGAATGAGGGTTTTCCAACTCCCCTAGGTGGACTCACCGTGTCCACTAATCCGGTTAAAGCGCCGGACATTCGCTTTTCGTCCTCTCACTTTCGTAAACAACACCCCCGCCACGAGAAGGCAGAAAAAAATATATCAGAAAATATATCAGAAATTTATATTGATTTCTTCACTGGTTTAATGAACAATGTTGATATGATAACAACGACGAGTAAGAAACATGTTTCTATTACTTATTAAAACATTGAGAAATTTACCCTATTAAATGATACAACAATAACAATTTACTAAAATAGAACCCGTACAAACTAATAAAATTTATATTTTCTTTGAATAATTTTATGAAGGACTGATGTTATTCATAGGACCGATAAGAACTGAATAATGTTAGAAAGTTATGTAATAACCATATATTTAAATGAAACATTCAAAATTGAGTAACTTACAACTGAGTTAATGAGGTATCAATTCAAGACCACAACAAGCAGAGTTTTTTTAAAATTCTTATTCTTTTATTAGTACTTTTTTTTCTCAAAATTAGTTTTTATTGTTATATTTTTGTGCATGCCCCCGAATGCTCAGGTACGGCTGAGAGTGGGGAGAGTACGCTCTCCCTCTTCAAATGCTCTCACATGGCCACGCGTATATAGCATCTGCCAGGAAAGTTCTACTCATTGCCTTCTCGTGGTGGGGGTGTTGTTTACGAAGGTGGGGGGGACGAAAAGCAAATTTTCGACACTTCAACTGGGTTGGTGGATATAGAGGATCCAACTAGGGGAGTTCGAAAACTTTGATTCCAAACCAATGGTGTACATGGGCTCCAGAATCCTGAGGGAACAAATAGCGTATGAACGAGTTATTGGTCACCGGCTACCATGTGACTGCATCTCCTTACGTTGCTCCACTGCCTTGTGGATTAGACCTCTAGATCAAATGCTCTGGGTGTAGTCTCCTAAGAAAACTACTCGCTTCGATTCGGGCAGTATTCCGGCCCTTAAACAAATCGAATGATTTGTGTGGCGCATATATATCTAGTGGCTTCTTGTACCAATGTCTGTGTTTAAGTAAGTAAAACTTGAGTAATGAGTGAAACAAAAACAAATAAATTTATGAGAAATTTGGTGAAAGACAAAAAATGAATGCACCTGAATAATTGCAAACATTTTTAAGCCATGTCATTCAAAGTCTCTAACCATTGGTTACGATAATCACACGGGCCACAACCAAGTCGTCTATATCTATCAACATAGATAAGACCAACTGTCAGTGACTTCATGAACTGATACCATGTTTTGGTTCGGTCGCACCTAGCTTTCTTCCAGCCTATTTCTACACCAGAAAATATCGTTCATTTTTACGTAACTAATTGTGGTAATTAATCGATTATAAAAATTTCACCTTCGTTACGATTATAAGTTTCCAGATGTTTTGCTACTCTAACTGACCACAAAACATGATTAAAGTGACTTATTATTACTCATTTGTCATTAATTTGACAATTCCCGACCGTTGCTGCTACCTTGACGTGGTGGTTGGGCTTGCCTATCATAATGAACCAATCAAGCTATACTGGCTGGAACAATCGTTCCTCAACGTCCTACCATGCCAGACAGCTCGCTTGAAGAGTAGTAAAACTAAAAGCAGCAATCCCAATGTCAGAAGGCGAAATCGTACTGCTGACTGTGCAAAGGTGTGACGGAAGTAAAGTGTTTTTTTCCAGACAACCAGCGTAACAGCGATGCTACCTCCCCACTAGGAGGGCTGGGGTTAGAAAAGGTCGACCCTAAAACTGCACACCTCACCTTATCCCACGAATATCCATCTCCGGCGGTAAAGTCTAAACAAGTACGGAGCTAACACGAAAATTACCCACAAAAAGGTCATGTGTGACCGACCTTAAGCAGTTGTCCCTTGGGCACTGCGGTCACGCTCTGAGGTCACTAAGACCACTTCTAATCCAATTTCCTTTTCAGGTTCCTCTAGAAGAACCCTTCCGTGGTGTGAGCAACCAGGAAGTGATAATTGCCCTCATACCTCTAACAGCACTCAATTTGACAATTAATTGTAAGTGTAGAGTATTCATGAGAAAACTAATTAAAGAGAAATAATTTTTTCGTTTAACTTGTATTTTCAAGAGTTGTTCGAGTTTGAGATTAAGATTTTTAAAACAATAAAATAACTATGAGAAGTTTTTGTGGAGATTTAGTATTTTCATAGTTGAAAGTGTGAGTCATTTGAAGCTAGACCACCATAGAAAACCTGAAAGCACTGGACGGCCGTTTCGTCCTATTGTGGGACTCCTCAACAGTGCGCATTCACGACCTAAATATAATAATTCATTATCGTGACCAGGCTAAACTGTACAACTTACAGTATACAGCAAGCTAACATAGATGAATGGTAAAGACATTAGGAAAAGGAATCAGTCAGTCAGTCACAGCGTAAAACTTCGTACGTACGTACAACAGTTCGAGCTGCCATACCACATTAACACAGAAATGCAGTTGTTGATTCAAATCCCATATTGGTAGAAGTGGTAAGAGCATAAGCAGTAATCTAAAAGATTAGGGTTTGAAGATGTTATTCAAGGAGTATGCTCCAGTGAAATAAATTTGAAAAGAGAAAGGAGAAAGGGACATGAGGAATTCAGAGGATTAGGATTTGGTAGAACACAAAGAGTGGATACACCTTCACCATTGCAAACGATTTCCAGCTATATCATTCAAAGTCTCTAACCATCGATTGATGTCATCTCGCAAATTCTAACCAGGTAGTCTACACCTACCTACCAACATGGCTCTGTCCAATTGTCAGCGACTTCATGGATTTGTGCCACGTTTTGGTCTGGCCGTCCCTAGTTTTCTTCCAACCTACTCCTACACCATAAAGGAAAAGGGAATATCATAACTTCAAATATTGAATGCAGTTAGTTACATAAACCACACTTACTTTGTTCGAATTTCTGATAATTCTGTCCATTTCGGTGCAAATTCAGCATTTAAATCAATTAAAGCTGATTGAATATTGTCTTGTGCTTTTAAATTTTGTTTAATAATATTAACAAGATGATCATGTTTTGATTTTAAACGATTTTCAAACCAACTATTTAAATCTTGTTTAACTTCATCTGGTATAATAAGTAGATCACTGTCTACATCATCTAGATGTAGATTAGTTCTTAGTTGATTAATTAATTCAACACGTTGTTGACGCATTTCATTGACTTTATCAAACAATCGTTGTGATTCTTTAGCGATATTATTCAGTGTTGAATCTATATAAAAGTGAATATTGTTATTTATTCATATATAGGTTGTTGACAAGATTTTCCAACTAAGAGATAATCATTATATATATATACTTGAAATCATGAGTCAATTGAAGCTAGACCACCATGGAAAACCTGGAAGTACCGAATGGCCATTTCGTCCTATTGTGGGACTCCTCAGCAGTGCGCATCCACGATCCCGCCTCGCGAGCGAGATTCGAACCCAGGACCTATCAGTTTTGCGCCAGAGCACTTGACTGATAGACCACTGAGCCGGCTGGCTTCCAACGGTGTTAATGTTTAACTCCAACCAACTTCAAGAGATAATCAGTTTACCAAATCTTATTTATAACCCATAGAGAAATATCGCATCAAAAAATTTGCTGAAATAATTGATTTCTGATTTAACAACTCATTACCCCAAATGCCCTGGTACTGTTGAGAGTGGAGAGAGTTCGCTCTCCCTCTCTCGAAATGCTCTCACATGGCACGCGTATACAGCCTATGCCAGGGTAGTCATACTCACTTCCTTCTCGTTGTGTCGTCTAGGAAATTGAGAGGACAAAAAGCACTTCGACCGGGTTGGTGGACACGGAAAGTCCATCTAGGGGAGTTCGAAAACCTTCATTTCAAACCAGTGGTGCACATGTGTTCCAGGATCGTGAGAGAACAAAAGGCGTATGAGCCTATTGTTGTTCACTGGCTACCATGGGACTGCATCTCCTTACGATGCTCCACTACCTTGTGGATCAGATCTCTAGGTCAAAGGCTCCAGGTGCGGCCCCTTAAGAAAACCATCTGTTTCAGTTTGGTCACCTGGGAAGTATCACATCCCTCACACACATCGAATGAGATTTGTGTGGCGTATTTGTATCTGGTGCCCATTTGTATCAATATTGATGTGTTTAAATAAATAAATATTATTATTATTACTTACCAGTAATTAAATTATTCACAGATGGTAACTTCTTTATAAATTCTTCTAATGATATTTTTAATATATCAAATGATTGTAATTGATTAGTAATTAATTCTTTTAATTGATTATTTGATTGTTTTGCTTGTTGATTAGCATCCGAAAGAGTTTTAAAACGTTCTTTAAAATTTTTAACAATGACATTGAATTTTTTTGTCTTTTCACTTCCTTTTGTTTTCTAATGAAATAATAATAATCATAAAGAAATAACTAAATTAGTTGGCAACAGTGATGATAAAGCTAAACAAAGAAAACGAGGAACAATAATCTTCAAACTCAATTGGATTGTTCGATAAGTCATAAGTCACACACACACACACAGAACCGGATATTCTACACCACATTGTATCAGTAGAATGAGTGAGTCAACATTGGTATGAGGCACCAAACAGATATGTACCACATAAATCATTCGAAGTGTGTGAGGGCTGCGACACTGACCGGGTTCCCAAACCGAGATAGTCAGTCACTCAGTTACAACGTAGGACTAGGCACATATATACATCGGTCCAAGTTGGCAAACCTCATTAGTACAACAAGATGAACACCGAATTCATAGTAGTTAATTAATTGGTGGTAATATATAAAAGAAAGATTATATATAAGAATATACTACAGGAAGAAAGAATTAATTGGTAGAAAGAAAGATATAAAGTGATTTTAATTTCACGGTTTAAGGGAAGACAAAGAGTGTACACACCTACACCATTGTGATCGATTCTCAGCCATGTCACACAGAGTCACCAACCATTGGTTACGATAGACACCCGGACCCTAACCAAGTAGTCTTTATCTACCAACATGGCTAAGACCACAAGGGTCGACTTTTTCTAATCCCAGCCCTCCTTGTGAGGTAGGCAGTATCGCTGTTATGCTGGTTGTCTGGAGGAAACACCTAACTGCCGTCACACCTCTGGGCAGTCAGCAGGATGACTTCGCCTTCTGACACTGTGATTGCTGCTTTTAGTCTTACTGCTCTCCAACCAACCTGTCTGGCATGGTAGGACACTATCCAAGTTAGTAGAATAAGGTAAACATAAATAATATGATTCGAGAAGGATGAATTAATTCACAGAATCAAAAAAATAGAAAACAGTATTAAAGTTCGAGATCTGATAAGAAACAAAGATTGTAAACAATTATGAAATTGTGACAAACACTAGGCTATGTCATACAACTTCAACAAATGGAACCGATATTCGCATTAAACTAAGCTAGATAGCATGTACCAACTAACAGAGCTCAAACCAACAATCAATGACCTCCTTCACTGATGTCAGATCTTAGTTTAGTTAACCTAAGCTCCTTAAACATATTATCGCACCACATTAGCACGACGAGATGAAATTATTCAAAGATAGATCCTACAGTAGCGTAAGTAGTAAAAAGAACTAGGTATAATAAATAAAAAAGGTATGAAGCGACTTAAATACTCAGTTTCTAAGGTAAAACAAAAAATGAATCCATTTAAACCATGGCAGACAATTCTAATCCATGTTACACAAAGTCACCAACTTCGGACCACGGTTATCGAACATACCCCAATTGAGTAATCTGAACCTACCAATATAGCTCAATCCGAATGTCAATAACTTTATGACCTGATGCCATGTTCTAGTTTGATTGCCCGTAACTTCCTTCTAGACTACTTCTACACCAGACTTCATCTTTCGAGAAAGATTATCCATACGAAATTCAGTGACTAAACTAGCATAAGCATGCATGGATATATATATATATATATATATATATATATATATATATATAACAGAGGACAAAAACTTACGACTAACATATCGAAAAATTCTTCCACATCTTTCATTTTAATAGATAGATTTTCAAATTCACTGTCGCCATCAACACTCAGATTTACCAAGCCTGTACGAAAAAATCCAAATAGATGAATTCAATATAATCGTGAAATTGATGATAAGCACATTTATGCAGACAAATAAAAACCTTTTTTACAAATCCGAACCAACAATATACAAATTCAGTGTGACCCAAATGTAGTTTGTCTAAATACCCATTATTTTCTAAAACTTCGAATGGGATCAGTGAAAAAAAGGAAATGTTAAAATCAATATTTTAAGGCCCAGGACAAAGTGGATTGGAGAATGCTGGTCGGCGGCGTATGCTCCATTGGGAGTAACAGGCGTAAGTAAGTAAGTAAAGTAAAATCAATATTCTTTGATCATTTTTTGATCGTGCGCGTAATGTTAAACACCAAACCAAAGAAGGTGAAGTTACTTTGGAGCAGTTCGTTCTGTCTTATTCTATGGCTCTAAAAACGTGAATTTTAAAAGTACAAGACATTCGTAAGCAAGATGGTCTAGCACGATGAATGAATTCGGAGTTAGAAACTTACGGACAACATTGTTAACTTTACAAAGTTAGTTCGTGTATTTATTCAATAAGATCATAAGATTATTACAACCTCCATGACGTATTAGTTGATTAGAAATAGGCCACCAACATTTTACTAGATCAAGGTGATGATCGCGTCTGATTCCAATGTGATTGGTCGTTTATTTAGTTATGTATATAGCTAAGCAAATTTATTAGCCCAGTTAGCGTATTAGTTACGTCTGAAAAGATAATATAAGTTGAGTTACTTTATTAATGACTACGACAATAATTTGGAAGGTATCATTTGTAAGGTGTTAGTTACACGGAAGTAATAACACTAGATAAATGTGTGAAACTTACTTGAACCAATACTTAAGTCAATGGACATTTTACATCATTTACTAAGTACTCATTTATATAACGTTTTTCTTTGAGCTTCACTAATTTGTGTGAGGACTAGTGATACCACTTTCACATGACTCTCTAAACTGAAGTAGGAGAAGAGGGTTTAGAAGCTTCATTCAAATGTGTTAACCACTGGTTCGTAAAATGACATTAAAATATAGGTGTGACTATAGATGGAACTTAGACATGATGATCGAGCTTGCTTATTGTGATGACCCAATGCGACTACATTGGTTGGAACATTCGCTGTTTTACGTCCTAGCACACCTGGCGGGTTGGTTAGAGGGCAGAAAAACTAAAAGTAGTAAACTCAAGGTTTGAGGGTGAAGTCGTACAGCCAACTGTACAAAGGTGTAACAGCAGTAAAGTGTTTTTCAAAAATAATCAGCATCTACAGTGATGCTGCCTTCTCAAAACGGGAAAGGGTGGCTAGGAAGCATTAGTACTAAAAATAGCATAAATCAACTTGACCGGGAGATTACTTTTGCCGAAGGTAAGAGCTTTCGAAGTACAGAACTAATACACTAAATACGCTAAAAACAGTTGTCCCCATGGCGTTGCGGTCATGTTTGCCGGACAGTGTATGACATGGTGTCGTGGCATGAAAGAAAGCTGCAAAGGGCTAGCTTTTGTTGGTCCTTCACGACTCCCTGGTTGGGGTCCGAGAGATAGTGCAACACAGTGGCTAGAGACGTTATCGGATATGGCTCAGAATAGAAGCCAGTGGTGATCCTGCTGCAACCTTCTTTTACTTTCTACATAAAGAATGGTTCTAACTTTCCTAACTGAAAGAATCTTCTGGTTGTACATTTCAGCCCGCCTTATCTTTTCATCCTTTATCTACCTACTTTCATTATTTTGTGTGGCGCATATGTACCTGGTGCCCTTTTGTACCAATATATATGTGTTTAAATAAATAAATAAATAATAGACCTCAAGGGAGAGTATCCTTCCACGATGTGGGAAACCGGGAAGTGACAACTGTCCTTATACCTCTAACTATATAATATATATATATATAAACAAAATTACCAAGTTGATTTTTTTTAAAAAACTAACTTTTTAGTTGTTTCGACAATTCCCCATTAGGATCTCTATCTACAGAATCCATACGAGCGAATAAATTGTAAAGCGATTGAGGGAAAGGTGGATCTCCTGCTAACATTTTTGTTGTATCCAAATACAGAGTAGATAAAAATTTGCTGAGAAACGAAGTAGGACAGAGAAAAAAAAGGTCTCATTACAAAATGTTAACCGAAGTAAAAGAATATTCTGCTTTTTTACTGCTTTGCATTTCAACTTCAAGTAAATATTACACAGAGATAGAAAAATGGAAGTACCAGAAGACAGTTTTATGGAATTTCAACTATAACGACAATGACAAAATATTTTCATTTAAGCGATTAGTCCTATATATATAAGATATTAATAGCGATGACGCAACTAGTTTTCAACAATTACATATGTATACAAAGAGCCTTAGAACGTACATTCAATGCAGCAAGACTATGTCCTACTTTCTTAAGACGACCAATAGCGATCTCATGAAATAAGAATGAATTACCTAGTTCCTCTGTTTATATATGTATTTACATTTCAAACTGCTCCTGCAGAGCTAGTTATATTGGGCGAACAAGTAGATAAATGCATCATCGTTTCTCTGAACATCATGATGCACGTGTCAGAATAAGCGCTGCCTATGGTATATTTTTTTTTCAAAGAAGTTTGGCTTCACATTTTCATGCAAAATCTTATTACTACTATGTATGGTGAATTTTTTCAGCAACCATAATGCACAACGGAATGACTGGAATCGATGTAACCCAATACACTCTAATTTTAGCGACCTAGTAAAAGCTTGATTTTGAGATGGTGGAGAAGATTTGTAGCTCAGGAACAAAAATCAAACCAATGGGAGATACGACCAAAACAAAGAAATAAACAATCACAGACTTAAGGTCAACAAGAACCAAACAACATCGAGGTGTACAGGACAAGCTGTGAACCACATGTGGAGAAATTTAAACACTTCACTTCTGCCCGAAGTTTGTGCTGATGATATCGTGTTTAGAAGGACGATGAAAGCTCCACGACCAAACCATCCAGCTCAGAGAACATCACCCACCTGAGCTACAAATCTTCTCCAACATCTCAAAATCTATGATATATTGTGTAATTTTCGATTTGTAATTAAGTTAACACTAAATCTGATTAGATGGTTGCTAAGCTAAATTACTTAAGTTAAATAATGTGTACAACTTTTCCTGTTGTAGCTTTTCATCCAGCTCAGAGAACAAAACTCCATCAAAAGTTTGATTATTCAGGCTTTGAAGTGTACGTTTTACTAGAGTATACATTTGTCCATGTGAAGCCTTGTTTAATTTAAGGAGAGTTTAATGAAGTAGGCCTCCAAATGCCCTGGTACGTCCGAAAGTGGGAAGAGTCCGCTCTCCCTCTCCAAATGCTCTCACATGGTAACGCGTATATAGCCTCTGCCAGGGAAGTCCTACTCACTGCCTCACACAAATCAAATGAGATTTGTGTGGCGCATATGTATTTGGTGCCTCTTTGTACCACTATTTATGAATATAGTGAGCTAGGAGATGGGATGGTTTGGTTTTCCTTTTACTAAGCTATCTTTCCTCAATTAATCTGTTGTAACTACAGAAGTAAATAAGACATTTAAATAAATAAAAACTAACATTCCACTTACTCTAACTCATCTTCTTTTGTGTCAACTTCACCAGTTAAAGTACGCAAAAGTGATGCCTTCATTTCACTAAATAATAATAATGGTTACAACTTATAAAATGGAATTCCAGGATTATAACAGACAAACAAGTACTGTACAGTTATGCAAAGGAAAATAGGCTTAGAATTAGTGCACTAATAATACAAAAACTGTTCAAAAAACGATTAGGCCTCATGTAAACAAAGTTCTAGGAATATATATTTTTGAAAACTTATAAATAACAACCATATACTTAGTATTGTTTGTTTGGATCTTCCCATTGATGTTTTTAGGACTGTAACTAGTCAGTCTGTTATTGGCATATGTGCATACTGTGCGTATTGCCTCGATATAGCCTGAATTCACAAGCATGGTAAGCAAAGATGGATAGTGGCGAGCAGTGGAATCCACGACGCGCGTTTCGTCCTATTTATGACTCGTCAGCTGGATGTACCTGCATCTTAGAGTTAATGTACTGGGTTCGAGTCCCAGAGTGAACATCAACTCCGAGATGCAGGTACATCCGGCTGACGAGCCCCAAATAGGACGAAACGCACGTCCTGGATTTCACTGCTCGCTACTATCCATCTTTGCTTACCAATAACAACAATAGTTCTGAAATTGATTTCAGTTTGTAAGAGAGAAAGACAAACTGAGTGAAACCAGATAGAACAATATGTGAGTTTCCAAAATCAAACAGTAAGAGTAGATGGAATTTATATGAATACAGCGAATTATTCAATTAAACAAGATTATCGCCCATAGATGTTGTTGTCAACCTAGAAACCAATAAATATACATGAGCTATAAAGATTATTAATTAGCTTTTCGCAATAAAGCTTCCTCAATCAGTCAGTCAGTCAAAACGTAGAACTTCGTACGTACGTACATCAGTTCGAGTTGTCATACCACATTAACACAGAGATGCAGCTGTTGATTCAAATCCCATAGTAGTAGAAGTCGTAAGAGTATAAGCATTAATGTGAAAGATTAGGGTTTGAAGATGTTATTGAAGGAGTAGAATTCAGTGAAATAAATTTGGAAAGATAAAAAGAAAGAGACATGAAGAATTCAGAAGATTAGAATTTAGTAGAGCACCAAGAGTGGATGTATCTTCACCATTGCAAATGATTTTGAACCATGTCATTCAAGGTCCCTAACCATCGATTGCTATCATCTCGCGGAACCAAACCAGGTAGTCTAAACCTACCAACACGGCCCAGTCCATTTGTCAGTGACTTCATGGATTTGTGCCACGTTTTGGTCTGGCCGTCTCTAACTTTCTTCAAACCTACTCCTACACCATGAAACATTGGACGTCGGGGCAGTCGGTGGTTGGGCATACGTAACACGTGTCATAGCCATCTCAAATGATGAAGTTTCAGTTAGTTGTTTACAATCTTAATGATCAAGTTAATATAGTGTAACATCTACAACAAACGAAAATGATAAACATTCCCTTAACCAGAAAAACAAAGAAGTCTTGATGAGATAATTCATCCGCATTGGATGCCTAAATCAATATTATAGGGAGCATAAAGTGAAACTAAGAACAGTTCATACCGCGGGTTACGTAACTACTGTGAACCCACTCAAAGTACAAATTTAGTCATTTTAAGCTCATTTGAAACCTCGGATATACCTACTATCAATTTATTGATAAGTTATTACCATGTTGAAGAGCTGAGGAAAAATGAGATATAAATATTTTGAAGTATGCTTAAGTTAATTTATCAAGATAGCTCATTAATTAGCAAATAAATAGAAACGTGATAATGTAAAAATCCCATCTCATTGTCTTGAGGGTTACAATTATTGTTAGGTTTAGGGAATTAGTTTTCAACATCAAAATACACTTTGTGAAGGGTTACAGATGCTGACCGGCTTCTCAAACTGAAACTGGTTGATTGGGCTTTCGAACTGAGAGTAATTTAATTTTTAAGACAAAGCTTTATCAAAAAAAATCCGACCAAATGGTAAGAATAAGAAATGAAAATATGTTTTCTTCCAAGACACTTGCCTATATATGGAAGCTGACTCCAACACATTCATTGGTATAAGTCGATGGAAAATATCTGGACCTCTGACTTCTATATCGTTGTGGTCGAATGGGACACCTTTGACAATACATACTCCTAAAATCAGTTAGGAAAAAAGGAACATGCTTTACCATAAATTACAAGCTCCAAGTTAAAGTCAAATGTCAACCAAAAGCTAGAAAAACAGTGTTTAATTTCTATGTCTGAAGAAAATAGCACTATCTCTGACAGACTGAATATCAGACTAAACGACCATTTTTGATAACTTCTTCATCAGCCCTTACAATTCCAAGTTCAAAATTAATCATATCACTTCTACTCAATCACTTCACATCATCGACGTAAACTAGTCTTAAAATATTGGTGGTCTCCCTGAATATCTGGGCTACCTACTTTTCCAACCATCTGAAGCAATAGTTTATATATGAAAGTTTTTACTTACTAGCATAAACTTGCACTGCTGGTTTAGAAAGGTCTGTTAAAGATTTTATACTTAAGCTGTCAGTCCAAACCAACTTTTAAATAATGACGGTAGCTAAGTCTAGATTTACTACACTTTATACGACTACCCCAATGCGATAGGTGTGTAACGTGGCATAGTCTGATGGTTATTTGATTACCCAACTTGGCTGTTAAGGTAGAAATACGTAGTAGTAAATTTTAAACTGAAAATATTGTTAGTATACTACTCAAATTATTTATCACCAACTCCAAATTTGAAATTGTAAGGGAAAAAAGTACAAAAAAATAAGTTCCAAGCGAGATATTCACAGTATTACATTGATACAATCACAGGTATAAAACATATGTAATTCAAGATAGAGCCCAAATGCCCTCGTACGGTCGAGAGTGGGGAGAGTCAGCTTTCTCTCGAAATACTCCCACATGGCCACGTGCGTACAACCAATGTCAGGGAAGTCCTACTCACTGCCTTCTCGTGGTGGGGGTTGGTTACGAAATTGAAAGAACGAAAAGCAAATGTTCGGCACTTCAACCGAGTTGGTGGACACGGAAAGTCCATCTAGGGAAGTTCGAAAACCTTGATTCCAAACCAAAGGTGTACATGGGCTCTAGGATCCTGAGGAAACAAATGGCGTATGAACCTGTTGTTGGTCACCGGCTACCATGTGACTCCATCTCCTAACTTTGCTCCACTACCTTGTGGATTAAACCTTTAGGTCAAAGGCTCTGGGTGTGACCCCCTAAGGAAACCTTCTGGTTCGGTTTGGACACCCGGGTAATGTTCCAGCCCTGATACGAATCGAATGATAAAGTGTGGCGCATGTGTATTTGGTGCCGTCTTGTGCTAATATTTATGTGTTTAAATAAATAAATAATTCACGATAAGCTAGCATAAAAATGCAAGTAGTCTGTATGTAACACTTATTAAATAAGATTTGAAGTGTAGCATGGTTTAATTTACTTGTCTTAAAGCATTCAACTTCCAACCGATGGGTCGCGTTGTTAGAAAGTCCACTTCAAATTCCTTTATCAAAACACTAGGTTACCGTCATTATTCACCAACACAAGCTGTAAACCAAAGCCAATTGCAAGGATATGGGCTTGTTTATCGAGTTACATTAAGCAATTAATTAATCATAATAGCTAGATATGCTGGCGACTAGCTCCATATTGTACTTTACATCATGCACTTGTCTTAGACTATTTCTGAAAACTAGGGAATCTTGGGTAGCTATTTCGTCTCAATATGAAACTCATCAATAGTTAACAATAATAATAGCTTTATTCATTGCTATAGATTTTGTTACAGTTGGGAATTACAAGTATCGATTGAGAAGTATTGCAATGAATTCCTTTCAGAAATACATTAAAGTTGTAATAGTGCTGAAACTATACGTTATAAACGTATTTTTGATAGTCAGTATCTCCCACTAATCTTCAACGGTGGAAGTCCAGTTACTTACTTACTTGCGCCTATTACCCTTCGTCGAGGAGCATAGGCCGCTCACTAGCATTCTCCATCCAACTCTGTCCAGTTACTACCAATATATATGTATGAATACTAATATATTCGGCCCTCCTTTTGGGAAGGGTAGGAGATTTTATTCATTATTAATGAAATACGTGGTGGGTCTATCATAATATCCCATGAGTATATACAGTTAGGTGGCCCAAACGTTCAGACCTAAAACTCCACCCGTAATTGAATCCAGCCTTTAACCTTTAGATTACTAAGTCCGGATAGAATAATTTTATGTGTATCTTCAGTCAATTCGTGATACTGAATGACCATCTTCTAATGACATTAGTCAGTAACTGCAACACATCCTACATGGTTTATCTATATCGAACTAGGTTGATATCAAGGTTAGAATATGTCGCTACTAAGCGACTGGGAGTCACAACCTTGGAATCATCAAGACATGCTGGTTTATAGTACAGCCTATGTTACTGAGACGTAGTTTCAGTACAAAACAAGAGTTTGATAAGTAGAATACTGAAAACAGATAACGACAGATGACAATCGCCAAATTAAATATTTGAAAGCACCAACAAAGACGCATACCTTTAATCTGTTCAAGGGACTCGATTTTCGGGATTAACTCATGATATATAAAATCGTTGTCTTTTGTAGAACTTGTTAACCTGAAAACAAAATAAAAATTACATAAGCAAGTAAACGAAGTACTATTGAGGATTTCCGATATAGGACGAAACAGCTGTCCGATGCTACCTGGTTTTTTCATCAATATATAATTGAATAAACTTGAATGTAAATTAATCTCCTTTTGGTCTCGACTAAATACATCTTCTTTACAAGATTGTCATTTGTATAAGCTGGGTTAAAAGAGAACTGAGCTGCTGTATTCTTGTATCAAAGTTTTGTTAGGGCTATCGTTGTATCCCAAACATATTGATCTCTCCACTTAATTTCAGTAGTCTGTGATAAAGACTATCATCTGAATTACATCACTAATAATAGAGGTTAGTCAATGCAATTCAGTACAGGTTGACTTATACGATTTCGGACACGCGTTTGAATGAAAACTACTTCTGTTACCAACATCTGCACGGTCATAGACTACGACTAAATAGATGACGTAAACCAGGAAGCTCATATATGGAATTCATACTTACTTATTAGAGATTAATTCTCCAGCATAAATGGAACTGGCACGATAGGTGCCACCTGAAGTCATCATAAATGAATTATCTGAGTCTTTGAAGTTTTTTGCATTCGTCTTACAATCTTCCATACAATTGTTAGCAAGTTGAAACCATGCTATAGCTTTGCCATAAACTTTATTTTCTTCTTCATTTATGCCAGCATAATAAGCCGTTAACGATGAATAAAAATTAGTCTTTATTTGACATCGACGACGCCATTCCTACAGAGAAAAAACAAAGTGAGTTTAATTGTATGGACAATTCAAAAAATGATTCCAAGTTCAACATAGACTGTCCACTAACTAAACTATGAACACTATGTGAAGTGTGGCTTTTGTCTTACTTATTATGTAAAAATAACTTTATGTGATATTGTCACTAGACTTATACAACAAATTAATAGAATTCAGTAATCGAATTCTACACGTTGTGACCAAGCCTCCAGTAAAAACAGATAAGATATCTGTTACCACCTAACAATCGATTAGTATAAGCCAACTGTACAGAAGTATTCTGTATCCAAAAGCTGGTAATACAGTTCAGTAGCTGAAATTACGTTGATGTACTCAATTTTCAGTCATACTTGTGTGAATGTTAGTGATACAAACCAACTTTTCAAAGCAAGATAAATAGAATAGTTTACGTTTGTTACCTAATGGTTTTCTAATTTCTAAAAGAATGATTAATTGATTAGTAATATCCCACCGATCATTGGAAAGAAACTGACAGGGAAACTGGTGAATTTGTTTCATAAAATTTAACTACTTTTGTGTTCGTAAATGTGCTCGTGTTCAGTTAATGAAAGAGGGCAGCTGAAATAGCAATAAAAACAAACAAGAAGATACCTAGAATCGGACTGAGACAAACACAATAATCAGATCTCTCAAAAAACGTACCAGTACTGTTAAATGTGAGTGGAGAGTTGACACTTCCCACTTCATTTATGTTGTTATATTTATAAAAAGTACTATTTGGAGTGCACCTATCCAATATTTTAAAATCCAGCAAGGTAAATCCAAAAACAGGATCAACTGGATAAGATGGAAATTTTTGAATACCTACAGATTTTGTTTTCTATTTTGAATTGACATTGAAGATGATGACTAAACTATTAACAAACTAGACTATTTTCACAAAGCAAGTTTGTTTAAGTATATATATAAATTCTGAATGACAGATTTAAAAAACAGAAGGCATGGTAATAACTTAAAAAGAATACATACTTTAGAATATTTTGGGAGAACTATTTTATCATTAGACTCAAACCCTAACAGCTGGGCACCAACATTTTCGTAAACCTCCATAATGTACTGAGACAATTTAGCAGTCACATTAGCTGGCCTGTTATCCAGTATAGACTTTTCTACAACACATTCTTGAGCTTGTGCCTGCAAATTATTATGTTGAAACGGAGTCATTATTGTAATAGTTATTCAACTCAAAAACAAATTACTTAGATTAACGAAATCACATACCCATGTTTGTAAAAAAATTAAGTGTGTGATGTCCACTAAAATCACATATCAACTCATTTAAGATTTTTAAAAATTATGTTGTTTGGAAAGACAAGTAAGAGTTATGAGTTCGGCTAAACAGACCGGACAACCAGTTTCAAATTGCTAAACTTTGGTTAAAACATAAATTCATAATTTAACATGACAATCACACACAAGTGTAACTACCAGATTATGAAATCAATTAATTTTCCAGTATGTCACAATCACTTTTGCTTTTAAACGTTTGAAGGTGAAGCTTTTGTATGTGCTATCCGATTGTTAAAAAAAGAAAATGTTTAAATACATTGACATTAATCCTATACGTGGAGTGTAGTGATGAGCAGAACAAGTGTGTAAAAACTATGAAGTAGTGTGAGTCGAAATAGATTACAGTGGGTTAAATATGTGCATTCTTATTTCCCCTTACGCTGTGACGACAAATATCGAATTTCCCTTCCACTATTGAACATATGTATACAGTGCAACAATATTTAAACCATATAGCAGCAGTATTTCAGTTTATTTCAGTAATAGATGATATTATTGGCCCAGTGTAATCATCAATCGGTTTTAATTAGTAAGCGAAAACAAAATTATTTATCTAAAAGTACAATTTCACATTTTCTTTGTCATGAGGACGATGGTGTTATTTATTTGTTTGAACACAAACACGTGGGCACAAATACACATGCGCCACACTTTATCATTCGATTCGTATCAGGGCTGGAACATTACCCGGGTGTCCAAACCGAACCAGAAGGTTTCCTTAGGGGGTCACACCCAGAGCCTTTGACCTAAAGGTTTAATCCACAAGGTAGTGGAGCAAAGTTAGGAGATGGAGTCACATGGTAGCCGGTGACCAACAACAGGTTCATACGCCATTTGTTTCCTCAGGATCCTAGAGCCCATGTACACCTCTGGTCTGGAATCAGGGTTTTCGAACTTCTCTAGATGGACTTTCCGTGTCCACCAACTCGGTTGAAGTGCCGAACATTTGCTTTTCGTTCTTTCAATTTCGTAACCAACCCCCACCACGAGAAGGCAGTGAGTAGGACTTCCCTGACATTGGTTGTATGCACGTGGCTATGTGAGAGTATTGCGAGAGAAAGCTGACTCTCCCCACTCTCGACCGTACCAGGGCATTTGGGGATAGGGGTATTATTTATCTGGTATGAAATCTTAACTGCACTTATGAAAATTCGTGGTCAGTTGGTGAAAGAGCATCTTAATCTTTATACCTTAATGACAGAAACACTCAACAGTAAGGTGATTCGTAGCTCTAAGGAAAATTTTTGATATCCGGAAATTTATACTATGAAGTTTGGTTGGCAGTCAGTCACAACGTATCTAGAATCGCTATCGCTTGACTATTTTGAGCTTCATTAGCAACAAATCTAACCCTTTTTCATCATCACTGAACATCAATGAGGTTAAAAGCACAAAAATATAGTCCGAAAACGACTCACTAGCATCAATGACCCAAAGAGTAGCATGAGCTCACTGGTCAAATCAGTTGCACCTGATACAGGTAGATGACGCTCGACTAGTGTATTTAGAGCCCAAGAAGCGCATTGAAAATGCGTACAAGCAATTTTCATACTCTGAAACACAAAGACAAAGATAACTTGACATAGATCAAAACGTGAGATGGTTTTCGAGTAAAATAAAAAATGCTTTCGCAACTAAGGGTTGAAACCCATTCTCAAATATATTGACAAATATCTGCGTTATATCTTATTTGTCCTAACGTGAACAACTGGATTAAACTAACATGAAAGGCATGATTATAACGCATTGGTTCAATCACCCAACTTTCTAACTACTTATCATGGGAATAAAGATGTCTACAAGAAAGCTTAGGATATATAAAATGAAGTTTAAAATCACAACGCTATAATAATTATCATGTAAATGTTTTATTACTGTATACTATCAAATTAATTGAACAGACTTTGGAGATTTTGTGGAGAATCGAAAATCACGGAAATACGGTAACTCAATATACGGATTTGAATCCACATCAACACTCAACAGATAGTAATTAGTTTGTGCGTTGAAGGTTACTCATCAACGTGGTTTTTGTAACAATGACAACATATTTCATACTGAAAAACAACTTGGGTGGAGCCAAATTCGAAATCCCTTATCTTTACGATCTTAATGGCGACATAGAATCACTTTAAGCGAACGTAGTATCAGTAGCCTTAGACCAAGCGTGTTGTATTAGCCAAATTACAGCAATTCCAGCCACATGCTTTCAAGATGAAGACAACCGAATGAAACATATTTAAGCTAGCAAATACGCGAGGCCGGACGTCGTCATGCAAACCAAAACGCTGTTTGAGGTCGCAAAAAATGGAGTCAAGTACTGTGTATCCACCTGTTCTTAGATCTGATTGACTTTTTTAGTACTTTTAGGCCCCATATTGCACAGTTCTGGCACTGCGTAATCGTCAGCTAGCTACATATAATTCTAAGTGTCTCCTCATCTTATGTGCAGTTAAGTTTTTAAATCCTGCTCCCACGGACAACTAAACGTTTTATTTATTTTATTTATTTAGACACATATATATTGGTACAAAAGGGCACCAGGTACATATGCGCCACACAAAATAATGAAAGTAGGAAGAGAAGGGATGAAAAGATAAGGCGGACTAAAATGTACAACCAGAAGACTCTTTCAAATAGGAAAGTAAGAACCATACTTTATGTAGAAAGTAAAAGAAGGTTGCAGCAGGATCGCCACTGGCTTCTATTCTGAGCCATATCTGATAACGTCTCTAGCCACTGTGTTGCACCATCTCTCGGACCCCAACCAAGGAGTCGTGAAGGACCAACAGAAGCTAGCCCTTTGCAGCTCTCTTTCATGCCACGACAACTAAACGTTAGTCAAAGATATTTACAGATTTGGACGGTAGACTTTCTACTTTTTCCACTTGCACTTTCCCTATTTAGTATGTTCACATTTTTAAATGTGAAGGTCAGCCAAAAGAAAACTTTAAATCCGTCTATACGCACCTTAAGTCTTGTGATTTCTAACTAAAAATTACACAGAAAACTGGACGTATCAGTACGGAAAACTGTCAGAACATTGTAGGTTGTAATACGCTCGTCTCTGGATAAACCGCAAAAAACTACAACGTCAAGCAGCAAAATAAGCTTACATCTGCATCCGCTCTCTTCTCCTTGACACCCAAAATAGAATGAAGGGCGGCGATGTTATACATTACGGATGCTTCTTCGAAACGAATATCCGAAGACTCCAAAAGACAATCGGAAAAAATGTCTTGCCTATGCCAAATGAGCATTTAAATATCTGATTACCATTTCCATGTTACATCTGTACACGTTGCGGCGGAAAAATGAAACCTGCCTTTAAGTAGCTGCAGTTGAGCATAATACCGTTTCAGTTGAGAAAGTCCAGTGTAATCGACAGAAGGTTCACAGGCACACTAATACAAAAAATCTGTGAAAACTCCACCATACTTTTCGTAAGCTAAGGAAACTATTGAATTCCTTCTCGAAGAGACTGGAAGATTGTTGATATTGCACTTCGATGTACTAAAATATTGGTGAACTTGAATAATTTTAGTATACCTTTTTCAATGGCTGTAGATCAGGCACAAACTCAGACTTTTTCATAGGCAAACCAACAGCTGGGAGCCTAGGAAGTCCGTCCATCCTTGACCTTGAACGAAAACAAACTTGCCACCAAAGCAACAAATGGTTCAAATGGTTCAAATGGTTGAGGACGGAATAGAAGAAGCTTTCGCTTAACGGGCTTCCGTGTCTGGTAGCAGTGGATCACCAATACCTCCAGGCAAAAACCTAGGTATATATAATTTCGCGCGTTATTTAAAAAGGACAGTGGTATTTTTCCTCGTTGAGTAAATTCTATTGTTTTGATCGTTATTAACGTATCAAGACTATTGTTTTTATACTTTGATTGAATTTCTTTCAGTTAAAGTATCCTATTAGAGTACCATCTTTGATATCCTAAATAGTTTAATCGTCCGTACTCCAGAGTACCTTTGTTTTTCTATTGTGTCTGTTAGTACTTTGGTCCTAACTGTTTATAGTTTTTTTTTTTCTACTTGTAGTCAACACTCACCTTCGCATCCTAAAATGACTGGAAGATGCAACAAAAGCATTTGCCACCACCCAGGATGTCGATATCCTGTTGATAGCGGCATGCAGTGCGATGAGTGCAAAGGTTGGTACCACGATGTTTGCACGAATCTAACACCTGCAGCTTTCAAGCGGTTCAGTAAAAATGGGTGCGTATGGCTATGTCAACAGTGCTGTTTGGATGCAAATAGCCTGTTAACTGAGGCCATCTCAATAGTAAATGCCGCAAAAAAGTGTCTCGGCAAGCGCGGTCGGGATACATCAGTCAGAACTCAATCTGTCGGCACGCAGATTGACACAAGACAGGCCCAAGTGAGTCCAAAAACTGCCGACCCACACTCTACTAAGGAGGAAGAACATCCTCCAAAGAAGACTGTTACAACTAGAGACTCGCGCAAAAAAGTCTCTTCTGTCCCTCGTATCAAAAATGGTACCCAGAAGGGAACTTCCGGAAGCCGAAACCGCAAGGCTCGATCGGTTTCCAGCGCGAAAGATGACCCAATCTCCCAAGTCGTCCTGAATCTTCCGGAATCCCACAGTACACCTGACGCGACTGTGGTTACCACTCCAAAGAACGTTGGCGATTGGGTACGGGTCGTAAGAAAAAACACCAAAATGACGTAAAAGGAAATCATACCCCCACCAAAAGGGTCGACAAGCCGAGGTCTGATCACAGCGACAGATCAGTCAATCTCCATAGAGTCAAGGAGAGTGACAACTTAGAACCGAAAGCTCGTTTTGAGCATGACATTGTGTTGATAAAACAACTACTCAACCACGTTATGCCCAAAAACATCCCCGGAGTCACCTTGCTAAAGGTGTATAGACTAGGAAATCTAGCGCATCTGAAACCAAATCAGTCTACACTACTCAAAGTCGTTTTCAAATCACCAAACGAACGCGACTAAATCTTAGAAAATGGACACAAACTAAAGGGTTCAGGAGTTTTTATCCGTAAGGACTTACCGTTGGCGGACCGTGTTAAAAGACGGGAAACCGAAAAGGAACTACAGCTCAGATTAGACGCTGGCGAAAAAAACCTGAAAATTGTAAATTTTCGGGTTGTGAGGCTTCGACAGAGGATGATGCCGAAGCCACTGTGGGTGAAGCACGAGGCCACCTAAATAGGCTTCGGATCTGTTATACCAACGCCCGGAGCTTACTAAATAAGCTACCGGAACTAGGTGTACAGATTGACTCAACTAGGCCAGACATAATCGCAGTCACAGAAACATGGCTGACGCCGTCTATAGATAGTAGGGAACTTGATTTCGAGGGTTTTACATTGGTAAGGGCCGATAGAATACAAACGCGTAAAGGAGGGGGAGTAGCTCTATTCATTAAAAATGCTATTCCATTCACCATTATCGACAGTGTATCCCATGAGAGTGGGACGTATGAATTAGTTTGCTGCCGCCTGAAATGCAGGGGACAAGAGTTACTACTTAGTTTGATCTATCGCAGTCCAAGCTGTGAGGCAAACGAGGTCCTGCTAAGCAGTCTCAACACTTTATCACGAAGTGATCGATGTCTAATCCTAGGGGACTTTAATGCACCCATGATGGACTGGGGAAATCTGCTGACTGAATCGTCAGCAAACTCCTTCGAACAGGAACTAGTTGATGCGGTAATCACATGTGCCCTAGTGCAACACGTGAAGGAAGCAACTAGGTACGACCCGGGTTCTGCATCATCCTTACTAGATCTTATATTGACTCATTATGATGATGATGTTGCAAACCTGGATTACATGCCACCCCTAGGCAAAAGTGATCATGCAGTTTTAAGCTTTGACTTCCATATAACTGTCGATCACGAGTACGCTTCAGCTCAATTCAGACCTAACGTCTGGAAAGCAAACATAGCAGACATCATGAAATCAGCATCATTAGTAGATTGGAAATTAGACCCAGAGTCATCAATCGAAACGGCTTGGGACATATTCCGGAATTTATACTTAAAAGTTGCCACCCCCCCCCCACATCCCTTGGACTACACCTAAGAGACCGAGAAACTCCCCACCGTGGTTCAGTAGGGAGGTTCGCATCCTTCTCCGTAAAAGAAGGAAAATGTGGGACAGATTTAGGTTACTGGGGACTGACGAGGCGAAATCTCAGTATCAAAAGGCTCGAAATACCTGTGCCTCGACCCTCCGTAAGGCCAGAAAGCTGTACGAAGAGAAAATCGTTAGGGAATCCATAGAATGCCCTAAACGCTTGTATTCGTATATAAACCAAAGGACAAAAAGAAGAAGAAATGTTCCTTCACTATGGGGAGACAGTACTGCCACATCACTAGTGGAGGACGACTTTGGCAAAGCTCAAGTATTCTCTAAATACTTTAGCGATGTATACACCATAGAAACACCCTTCTCACCAGTCCATGAAAATCCCCCCACACAAGCACTGGACAGCGTAACCATTAAAGAACTCGATGTCTTTGGTCTGCTAGTTAAGCTTGACATAGGTAAATCCACTGGACCCGATGAACTGCATCCTAGGTTACTAAAGGAATTAGCTAACTTTGTTGCGAACCCTTTAAGTATATGTTTTAATCTATCTGTAACCCAGGGTCGTCTACCAAAAGACTGGAAGAACGCCATAGTAAGTCCAGTCTTCAAAACAGGTACAAAACATAAGCCTGAGAATTACCGACCAATTAGCCTAACTAGTGTGGTTGTTAAAATCTTAGAAAAGATTATTCGGAAGGAACTGTTAAAGTATCTCGATGAAAACCGGATCCTCTCCGAAAAGCAGCATGGTTTTAGAACAGGTTACTCTTGTCTCACAAACTTATTAGTCGCTCGTGAAAGCTGGTGCGCTCTTAAGGACCAAAAGTTACCTATAGACGTAGCTTACATCGATTTCAGCAAAGCTTTCGACAAAGTTCCGCATAACCGGCTGTTATATAAGCTAAGGAATGTCGGGATTGGAGGCAATCTATTGATGTGGATAAAAGACTTCCTAGTTGGGCGTCAACAAAGAGTAAGGGTGAACTCCAAGTTGTCTAGCTGGGAAACTGTGCTTAATGGAGTCCCCCAGGGTACAGTTTTTGGGCCAGTGTTATTCCTCCTGTACGTAAATGATCTCCCTCATCTACTATCGTCATCGGTCTTACTCTATGCTGATGATGTCAAGATATGGAGAGCGATACAAAGCAAGGGCGATAGCTTAGAACTTCAAAATGACCTGGAGAGATTATCTGAATGGTCCCAAACCTGGCAATTGCCGATAAACACTTCCAAGTGTATTGTGATGCATATTGGCCACCAGGGTACAGATACATACACGATGAATAACACTGTTACCTATTGTTCAGGCACACAATGACTTAGGTGTCATCGTCAGTCAAGACTTAAAGACTACTGCACACTGTCATGCAATAGGTTTTAGGACTTTATGGTCCATACGCAGGGCTTTTAGTCATCTCGACGCTAAAACGTTTCTGACTTTGTATACAGTGTTCGTACGCCCTAAACTTGAGTACTGTATACAAGCAGCTAGCCCTTGCCTAAAAAAAGACAGTGAACTCTTGGAAAGGGTTCAGAGAACAGCAACTAGGCTGATTCCCGGAATAGCGAAGCTCCCGTATGGTACTAGACTGACCAAGCTAAACCTATTCTTGCTGTCATATAGAAGAATCAGAGGCGACTTGATTACAGTTTTCAAATTACTTAATGACAAATTTGCACCTGATATGCCCTCATTTTTCTTGTCTTCCAAAACAGAAAATCTACGAGGACACTCCAAAAAAGTTCACAAGCCCAGAACGAATTACTTGTCAGCTGACTACCGACTTTACCATCGAATAATCAACGAGTGGAATTCATTACCTCAGCACGTGGTTGAGGCTCTATCCGTCGACTCCTTCAAAAGAAAGTTGGATCAGCTGAGAGACCATCATTGCCAGGACTAACACAGGCCATCAAGCCTCCTGTCTTTTCCAAACTGAAACTGAAACTGAACGATAATAGAGGAAAAAAAGAATTTGGTAAATCATAATAATATGTTATCCTTAGTCCTTAAGAATAAGTCAAGTTTCCTCTTAAAGGACTCCTGGGAGGTCGCTTGGACTAGCTCAGTTGGCAGCGAATTCCAGCACTTGACAACTCTAACGGAGTAGAAATTGTCTGCAGTATGTTCTGCTATGTAGGGTCTCCAATTTCTGGGTGTTACCTCTCAGGTTGGTGTTATGACTAAGCTTAAGAAGATGTTTAAGGTGATGACCAGAAGTGTTAAGGATACCGTAAGTCGTAAGAAGATCACCTCTAAGACGCCTGTACTCTGACGGGTAAAGGTTAAGTGATCGGAGGCGCTCTTCATAAGGTTTGAATTTGAGTCCCCGAACTGATTTCGTGGCTCGACGTTGTATGCGTTCCAGAGTGTCCTTATCCTTTTGGAGGGAGGGAGGAAATACTATGTTTCCGTACTCTAAATGGGGACGAATAAAACTGTTGAAGATTATATGGAAGGTTCTACCGTCAAACGGGCCAAAAATGCGCCTCAACGTTACCAGTGCAAGGTTTGCTTGAGAGGCGTTTTTGTCACAGTTCG